TATAGTTTCCCTGTTAGTTCTTTGGCAATGAGTAGCATATTTTGATACAGTGTACTTTGTGTTAGAGCTTGAGGATTCCACTTTCTTTGTAGGTCTCAAAAGAATCAGGTCCTTCGTGGAGATTTGGTAGTTGTGCTGTATGTAGCAGGGTATGTGAGGTTGCTCTTCTTCACTGAACAACTGTAGACATTCTTAAATGGTTTGGGAGAAATAGATTGGAGATCCCTCTTAGATGTGGTATCCACAGTCATTTTTTCTTTTGTTTTTTTTAAACCAGGGATTGAACCCAGGGGCACTTTACCACTGAGCCACGTCCCAACCCTTTTTATTTTGTATTTTGAGACAAAGTCTCGCCAAGTTGCAGAGGGTCTCCCTAAGATGTTGAGGCTGGCTTTGTGATCCTCCTTCCTCAATTTCCCAAACTGCTGGGATTATAGGCATGTGCTACTGCACGCATCCCAGTCTTTGTTTTAATTCTCTTTTTGCCATAGGAGTGGGTGTCTATGTGTGGGGCCCAAGGGCCATTCCCAAGCCATTCATACTTAGGGCCTGGTCATTAATTTGGAGTTTTTGTCACTTCAATTGTTTGTATCAAAATATCACAAAGTTTGAGCATGGTAGTTTGTGTGTGGAGCAAGATACAGCATCTCTTGGCTGGGATTAGCTCAGCAGCAGAGTCTCTACCCTCTTAATTTGTAGTGTCCCAATAGCATCCCAGCACTCAATGCGAAGCAATAATCCTGCTGCTTGAATCTCAAACCATGGAGCAACTGAAATCATAGCCACCCTCTACTCCACCATCTTGATCTTCTACCCTTTGATAACTAAACAGGCATCCTGATGGCTTATTAGGTGTCTTGTTAAGTAAGGCTCAAATCTGACCTTTTCAGTAGTACTGTTCTTTTTTAATTCACCCAAACTGACTGTTACCTTTGCCCTATTTTTTTTTGTCTAATGATAGAGCCAATCTCTATCATTACCATGATAAGTATTTCTTCTGTTGGATCAGGGGAGTGTTCTTAAATGATCTTTAAATTCTCTTCTGGCCATAAATTTCTGCAATTATATGTTCCATTTGCACATGTTAGCCCAGACACTTAAAAATCAGAGTATTTTATCATGTGTTAGTCTTTTTAACTCTTACTTTTGACTCCTTCAGTCATTTTCTTTTAAGAATTATTGGCCTTCACAGTGCCTTTTCTGCAGCCAAAACTATAAAGGCAGTGCAGTTTCATTTATCAAGCATTATTCTCTCTTCTGCTCTTGTGTACATTGATACAGCAGGAGTGGGAGCCCTTTATTGTAGGACAGGAGTGGTATATATACATTCCACACAGCTTATCTTAATTAACATAAACTAGATACAGCAGTCAACCAATAAGGAATCTCCACACTTAATGGCTCACTGGTGTTACTTCACAAACCACTCCCTCTGGCAAAATGCCAGGCGCCATCCAGACTTGTTTACAGACCCTAACATGTTACCACTGGAGAAAATGTCAAACAAAACACCAAATGTAGTATAGCACAGTTTAGGAGAAAGGAAAGATGTCCTCAAGGGAAAGAATGGGTTGTCTCCAGACAGGAACAACTTGCCCCTTTGTTCCTTAGTTTTTAAAACTGGGGTCTTATGGAAGTTTCTAGAAAGTCCCACCTAGCTACTACCTCCCAATTCCTGACTGACAGTAGAATAGCATCAGATTTTTAAGTCTCTGCTGTGCGTTATTTTACCGACAGATACCCAGGCAAAATCTATGGGGGGTGCAGTAGATGTTACTATTACAGAGATATTAAAATGATATGCTGAAGATCTGAAGACAACTCTCGGTCACTTCGGCTCATGGTGACCAACTCTATTTGGAACATGTTTTAGAGATTTTATGTTCATTGACTTTTGCTTCTAATTATCTTCTCTTCCTGAGTCTTCAAATCTTTGGTCTGTATAAAGGTCTCAAAAATTCCCTTTCAGGACAAGTTATGTCCTCCTCATTGGCAGGGTGGGGTATTCCATTTCTTGCAATAGCTGTGAGGATAACAAGTTATTTTGCAATGAATGTAACATCCTATTGACTTAAGCCAGAACAGTACCAAACTGGTCTTAGGTAATTGCTTTTAAAAGAAAGCACGTCAAACACTTTTTTATATAATTGTTGATCAGTTGTATTTCTTCTTCTGTGAAAGTGTCTGTTCAGTTCCCTAGCCCATTTATTGATTGGGTTATTTGCTTTTTTGGTGTTGAGTTTTTTGAGTTCTTTATATATCCCACAGATTAATGCTTTATCGGAGGTGCATGTGGTAAAGATTTTCTCCCAATCTGTAGGCTCTCTCCTCACTTTATTAATTGTTTCCTTTGCTGAGAAAAAGCTTTTTAATTTGAATCCATCCCATTTATTAAATTTTGATTTTACACCTTGCACTTTAGTAGTCTTGATAAGGAAGTCAGATCCTAGGCCGACGTGGTGGAAGATTTGGGCCTATTTTTTCTTCTATTAGACTCAGGGTCTCTGTTCTAGTGCCTAAGTCTTTGATTGACTTTGAGTTGATTTTTTGTATAGGACTATAGCTAGAGGTTTAATTTCATTTTGCTACCTATGGATTTCCAGTTTTGCCTTTTATTGAATAGACTATCTTTTCTTCAGTGAATGTTTTTGGCACCTTTGTCTAGTATGAGATAACCATTTTTATGTGGGTTTGTCTCTTGTGTCTTGTATTCTGTACCATTGGTCTACACATCTGTTTTGGTGCCAATACCATGCATTTTTATTACTACAGTTCTGTAGTATAGTTTAAGGTCTGGTATTGTGATGTCTCCTGCTTCACTTTTCTTGCTAAGGATTGCTTTAGCTATTCTGGGTCTCTTATTTTTCCAAATAAATCTCATGATTGCTTTTTCTAATTCTATGAAGAATGTCATTGGGATTTTAATAGGAATAGTGATGCAACCACATCAATGTTTATAGCAGCTCAATTCACAATAGCTAGACTATGGAACCAACCTAGGTATCCCTCAGTAGATGAATGGATAAAGAAAATGTGGTATATGTACTCAATGGAATATTACTCAGCTTTAAAGAAGAGTAAAATTATGGAATTTGCCAGTAAATGGTTGGAGTTAGAGAATATCATGCTAAGTGATATAAGCCAACCCCATAAAACCAAAGGCCAAATGTTTTCTCTATATGCAGATGCTAATTCACAATAAGGCAGGTGGCACTAGGGAATAACATCACCTTAGATTAGGTAAAGGGAAGTGATGGAAGGGGAGGGGAGGGGATGTGGGGATAGGAAAGATAGTAGAATGAAACAGACATTATTACTGTATGTATATATGTGACTACATGACCAATATGATTCTGCAACATGTACACTCAGAAAAATGAGAAATTATATCCCATCTATGAATGATATATTAAAGTATATAAATGCATTCTACTGTCATGTATAACTAATTAAAACAAAAATAATTTTTTTAAAAAAGAAAGCATGTCGAGGGCCAATGCACCGGCTCGGTCTGTAGAATTATCCCCTTAACTTCATATTCCTACTACTCTTGTCTGTTAACAGCAGAATATGTTAGATTCTCCTTTCTTAATAGTACTTTAAATTTCTTTGATTTAGTTGGAGTTACATATTCTAACTTTTAAAGAAAGATGATTATGTTTAAAGTAGAATTTCTTATGCCTCAAACTGTTAGTATGTTTCATAGACTCAAGATAGTTATTAAGTATTTAATTCATGACTATAGACATAAGATAAATCTGCCTTATATTTTCAGGAAATCTACATAGAATTTAGAGAGTCAGATTTTAGGCTTGTGATTCAGTTTAAAAGCAGTGAGTTTTAATTTCTTCTGTGTATAAAAGGTGTGAGGCCCTTTATTTATTTAAGGCTCTTCTCTACTGATTTGCCTTTACCCCTCCACCACTCCTCTTTTCACTTTATGCTCTAGTAATTAAAACTTTACATTGTAATATGCCTAGTTTTCCTATGAAGAAAATACTGAATCTCTTGAGTTAACAAATAAGTTCTCTCATTTCATGAAGCCCTGTGCTTTTGTAAATTTCCATTCCTTTGGCTTAGAGTCTTTTCAGCTGTTACCCCTTCCTGTCTTTTAGTCTTTTACTTCTCAAACTTAAATGGTTATATACATTACAAGGAGATCTTGTGAAAAGGTAGATTGTGATTCATAGGACTGTGATTGAACCCAAGATTTGCCAATTAACAGAATCTCAGAAGATGCTGATGCTGCTGGCATCTGGAACATACTTTCAGTAACAAGAATCTTGACTCTTGACGAGACTTGTTGTCCTCAAGACTGTTTCTTCAGACTTTGCCCTCTTATTTCCATAGGCAAACCTAATTACTCCTTTACCAGGGATGTCATTGCCAATATTTGCCTCATTATGTATCTTAATGTAATTATTTAGTATCTTCTTCTGTGTTCATTGCAAATTTTTGCTTACAGAGACTGTGTCTTTCATCCCTTTATTTCCAAAGCGTGCCCCACTGGTTAGGGGAAAATAGGGTTTCATCAGATTTTTTATTGCCGATTGTTTATTAAGTTTTTGTTGCTGTGACCAAAAGACCAGAAGAGAACAGCTTAGAGGAGGAAGAGTGTATTTTGGCTCACATTTTCAAAGTCAGTCCATGGTAGGCAAACTCCGAAGTCCTGGGTTTGAGCTGAGGCGGAACATCATGACTAAAGAGCATGGTGGAGAAAAGCAGCTCAGGACATGGCAACTAGGGAGCAGAGAGAGGGCTCCATTCACCAGGGACAAAATATAAACCTCCATTGATCTTCCTCCTCCAACCATAGTATACCTACCTACCTAGCATACCTACCTAGCCCAGTGCCTAGCCCTATCAGTGAATTAACATAAATGGTAACATATAATATATAACATATAGTATACATGATAACATGTGATATTTTTCAAGGTAACTTTGTAGAAGGAAGTGTTTTAGAAAACTAATGACAATTATTTTTCTTTTCGTCCAAGGAGAAGTACAAATGTCTACCACAAGACGAAAACGTAATATGTTATGTTGTTTACCGTAAGCTGTAGTAAAATGAGCTCAATTGTTGACAGGTATGTTTTTAGAAACTCCTTATTTTGAATTATATAAGACTACTTTAAATTCACTATTAAACAATGGTCTATATCAATAGAAGTTTTGTGCTTAAACATAATTACTATTATATTTAATTTTTGTATTGAACAAACATGACAAACGTGTTATAAAGTAAGGTACATAAGTATTTTACAAGAGCCAAAGTCAGCAGCATATGGCTTGTGATTTAAATAGGTCTTGAATTGTAATTTTGAATAATTTGGTCAAAAGCTGCTCTGAAGGAAATTGTAACAATTGCAAATGTTTCCTTGGCACCTTCTAGAATCTCTTAGTGCTAACTTCATCCCTTCAAGCATCTTGGCATTTGTGACTGATGAGAGGTAACTATAATTGGGATTATTATGAAACTGGGGAGAGAGAATACCTTTTATTATGCTCCACTAAATCTCAGAAAACAGGTTGGTAAGGGAATAGATTTTATTCAAAGCCAGCTCTGAGGAAAATAGAGATCTTTTTCTTTCTCAGATTTCCATTTTCGGGGACTTAGGTGAAAAGAAAACTTTCATAGGAGGTGAGGAGTCACAGTGTGAAAAAAGGTAGGGTAGAAAATATACATATATTATATACATAAATCTATATATGTAGGTTTAACTAGGAAACAATTCTACCAGCTTCCCTGGTGCCCATTAGATCCAGGGATCAGGTCCTCAGCCTTCATTCTTAGAGGAAATTCGGACGTTAAAACAGTTTTGTGCTTGCAGTTTCAAAGAGAATCTCTTTGAATTAGTTGAATTTTAACCTTTAAATTTCACTCTTGGGAAAAGGACAAACCTTATTTCTTTGACTCTAAGGTGTTTTTTGTTGTTGTTGTTGTTATTTGTATTTTAGCATTTTAACATCTAACATTTGGTGAGTCTTAGAATTAACTTATAATTTAATTGGTAGCATTTTTTCCTTAGGATACATAAGTGTGAATCATATAGCTAGTAGGGTCTTAAATTTGATGAAATAGAATAATTTTGAAGCACCTACCCTTCAACAGCATTTTTTAAAAAGATTTTAAAAAAAACATTCAACAGAATTTTTTTAAAGAAAATTTTTGGTAGTTGTAGATGGATAGAATGCCTTTGTTTTATATGTTTATTTTTATGTGGTGCTAAGGACCAAACCAGTGCCTCACACATGCTAGGCAAAGCACTGTGCCACTGAGCTACAACTCCAGCCCCAAAATATGTTTACATATTATTTTATTTAACCTCACAATAATTTCATAGGATTTTACAGTTGTAGGTCAAGGAGGTTGAATAACTTGTTTAAGGTCACATAGCTGGTAAGCAATGAGCTGGAATCTTAACCTGTGTTGATATGTCTGACCCTAAAGTTACGTGCCTTTATTATATTGCACACTGTGATTTGCCTGTGGAGGATTCTTTTTTAAGAGTTTTACCTGAGTTGCACACAGAAGTGACTATTGACATCTGAAGGCAGCCCTCTTCCCTTTCTGTGAACTAAATAGTGATAATTTGTGTTCTACCAGAACGTAAGACCTGAGGGGCAAAGAATTTCTTTAGGGAGGTTGCCTCACAATGACTATAGCTTTGGATCCTGCCATAGTTGCATATGTAATCTCTGAGAACTCTTCCCTCAGAAGGGATATTTCTTCACTGCCCCAGAGGGATTAAATATGATTTTGCTCCTAGGTTTTTTAATGATTGCCAGTTTTCATTCTAGAAAATAGGACTTTAGGTCTGATATCTATGTGTTGATACATAAAGTGGGTTCCTTATGTCTCTGAATATTATGATTTGGGGGCATAAATAGAATCCCTAAAATCTAGTCACGAACTTCCATGAAACACAGTTTACGGCTTACCTCAATAGTGAATCCAACAAGCACCTTATGGGCTACTAGCCTTTTTTTTGTTTTAGTTGTAGTTAGACACAGTTCCTTTATTTTATTTTATTATATGGTGCTGCCCCACACATGCTAGGCGAGCGCTATTATCGCTGAGCCACAACCCCAGCCCTGGCTACTAGGCTTTATGAGTCCTAGAAAGCTGTGGCTAAAGTAGTAAATGGAGAATCCACACAAAAGTTCATAAGCCACTGGAAACTGTTTAATATCATTCCTTAGCTTAAGAAGTTAGCCACTAGTACTCTTGATGTAATTCTCTATAATATTCTTCCCTCGGTTCCTTCCATAGCTACTCTGTCTTGTCACTTAGATCACTGCTCTCCATCTCAATATATCCTTCCCTAAATGGAACTTGACTGGTCCTTCCTCATGCATTCAAGCTAAAGTAACCCCCAGTAACTAAAACATTATCTCTTTTATAAAAATAAGACCTATTGTCACAAATTTTCATGTTTATTTCTACTAAAAAATAAGCTGTAAGAGAGCAGCTACATGTCTTATTCACTGCTTTGTAACCACATCCAAAATAGACCCCAGTACATGAGTGCTAATAAATATTTGTCAAATAGATCAGTAAATGGATGAAAAGGTATTAATGTGTTAAATATTTATTTTTTAGTTGGACACAATAGTTTTATTTTGTTTATTTTTATGTGGTGCTGAGGATTGAACCCAGAGTTTCGAACATGCTAGGCAAGCGCTCTACCACTGAGCCACAACCACAGCCCTGTTATTATAGTTAATAAAAATAATTCCAAGTGAATAATTTATATAATGACAAATGGACTTTCTATAGGTTTTCACTGGTCATTAAAAGTTTGAAACAAGATATTTAAAATGGTTAATTTCTTGCTTAGCATTGTTGCTGTGTATCTATAGTAGTGCTAAGATAAATACTTCTAAAATTTACATATGTAAAAAACTTTCAAAATTTAAACATAGCTGAACTTTATTAGAAAATAGGTTAGTAGTTATTGAGCTTGTGCAATCCATTGACTTTACAAACATCCTAGGATTTAACCAAATGAAATCACCTGGCACTTTAGTGTTGCTGTTGCTTGGTTAGTCTGCTCTTACTTTATATACTTTCTTCTTTCTTTTAGAGATGACAGTAGTATTTTTGATGGGTTGGTGGAAGAAGATGACAAGGACAAAGCAAAAAGGTAGCTTGATGTGAGATGTGAAATAGGAAATAAATGAATGATACATAAATGTAATTGTGAGCAAATAGAAAATTAATGATTTCCAAGAGTTATCTTCTTTTAGAATTTATGTATATTAGCAAAGGAGAAGAGTTTAGAACATCAATATGCAGTTTATACATTAAATAAAATTATTCTTTGACCTTTTGGAAAAAATATTTATGCTTAAACAAAAACTAAAAGAAAAATCTGATTTATAGAGCAAGTAATTGGATTTCTTATAAAATGATTAATTGCTTTATAAATAATTGGGTTTATTTGTCTCAATAGCCCTTTGTTTATTGGTTGCTGCTTCACATAGAATAACAATAATTATTCATTAATGCTTAGGTGAAAAATTGGGGCTCATTTCCTAATAGAGAGAGAGATACAAAATGTTACAACTCTATATTGGAGGCTGGGTCTTTGAAGTATAGATTATTCACCTTTGTGAGTAAATCTGGGAGTAGAGAAAGTTTCATTTTTAGACGTGTGTATAGTTTAAAACTTACATGGTGGGTAATTTTTTCCTATTCACTAGTTTTTAATACATATTCCATATACTTCCATAAAATGTATCTCATTAATGTTTATAATCTTGTAAATTTATAATCCTTGGGAATATTAGAGAACTGAAACTTGCAATGTGAACTCAGTTTGTCTTATTGGTATTTTCATACAAAACATGTTTGTTGAATGTTGGATAAATCAAAGCTTCTTAAGTGGTAAACTGAGATGAAAATTTGTTGTCAAGATTAACCCTATATTGTTGGAAACCTTGGAAATAAATATTTATCACTGTCTGTATTTACAGAAATACATGTTATGTTGCATCCAAATTGAGTTTTTAAATTGTTTTGTAATAGTTTGTTTAAAAAAACCTGCTTATTTAATTTCTTTTCTCATTAGAGTATCAAGAAACAAATCTGAAAAGAAACGAAGAGATCAATTTAATGTTCTTATTAAAGAACTGGGATCCATGCTTCCTGGTAATGCTAGAAAGATGGACAAATCTACTGTTTTGCAGAAGAGCATTGATTTTTTACGAAAACATAAAGGTAAATTTTTAATTTGTAAAACGTTTTTTTGTTGTTGTTTTTGAATAAGACTATCTCTTAAAGTATAATGAGTTAGGATCTTGGCACAGATGTGGAAGATTGGATCCTCCCTCAACTTTATTCAAAGAGTTTTTTGTTGATAATGTTGTTATTGGTTTTTAAGAGATCTTGCAAAGTTGCCCACGCTAGCTTCAAACTAGCAATCCTCCTGCTTAGTCTCTCAAGTAGCTTGGATTATGGACATGAAAGAAACCAATCACCTTTATAAACAGATTTCCTGGTATGTTCTTTCTTTCACTCAACTAACAGTTATTTTGTGCCTACAATATCCTAGATCTTTATGATGCAGGATAACATTCTTGGTCCTCAAGTATCTCAAGCCAGGGGAGACAAACATTAAGTAGATAATTATAATACAAATGACCATGATATGAATAATGCTTAAAAACTATAAATTCGAAATGGTAACACAAAGGAAAGAATATATCAGATAAAACTTTAAAATAATTAATTTTTCAACTGAGTCTTAGATTAAGTAAGGAAAACTTCATTTTACATAAAAGAAGGTAGCATATGCAAAAGAGAAGCAAGGAGACTTCATTGTAACTGGAGCATGTTTTGTTGGAATGTTATGGGTGATTTGAAAGAAGGGAAAAGATCACATCTAATAAGGGCCTTGTAAGGGGCTGGGGTTGTGGCTCAGTGATAGAACACTTGCCTAGCATTTGTGAGCACTGGGTTCGTTCCCCAACACCACATAAAAATAAAAACAAATAAATAAAGGTATTGTGTCCATCTACAACTAAAAAAAATAAATAAATAAAAGGGTGGGTGGTTGGGGATGTGGCTCAAGCGGTAATGCGCTCGCTGGCATGCGTGGGGCTCTGGGTTTGATCCTCAGCACCACATAAAAAAATAAATAAAATAAAATAAAGATGTGTCTACCGAAGACTGAAAAATAAATATTAAAAAATTCTCTCTCTCTCTCTCTCTCTCTCTCTTTTCTCTCTCTTTAAAAAAAGGGGGGGGGGGAGCTTGTAAGTTATTTTAAAAGGTAATTTCAGTTTATAGCTGAGAAATAAACATGATATTTTAAAAATTGAATATTTGTTAATTAATGAAAATCACCTTAACTAAACAATTCATGAAAAGAAAATTTGAAGGGGGCTGAGGTTTGTAGCTCAGTGGTAGAGCACTTCACTTACTTATCATGTGCAGGGCCCCAGGTTACAACCCTAGCACAAAGGGGAAAAAAAATTCAAGAATATCAAGTGTTTTGGTAGCAGATATACTAGATTAGAAAAAATGATAAAAGGATATTTCATTTTTCAGACTTAAATGAAACTGCAGAACTTTTCAGGAGGAGAGATAGTAATTAGTGCTTCTTTTTTACTTCTCCCTAGCTCACTTAGTAATGCCTCACTAGACTGGTTTATGTTTTACCACTCTTTGAAATTACTGTTGTTAATTTCATTAATGACATTATCCACTCATCCCCAGTAAATCAAAAGCTTTTTCTTACACCTCATCCTCTTGTATATATCTATAAACCTGGAAATTTATATCCATTCTTCATTGGCTTTCTTTTCCCTTGGCTTCACTAAATTGTACTGCTTCTTCCCTTTCTTAATTAAAATTACTTTCCTCTTTCTTTCTTTTTTTATAAATGGGATGTTTCTCAAAGGCTTATCCTTGTGCTCTTAATTTCTCTACATTTTTTCCTTGGTTGCCTCCTTCTATAGATTTGGCAATAGTATCTCTATTAACCCATTTTGTTCATTTGTCCCAGATGTGGAACATCTATAAATGCTTAAATATAGTATTATATATTACATAATATTATACTTTTACCACATTTTTATATTTACTCATATTAATAATATGCAAGTTCTGGATTATGATTTCCAACCTATTTTAACCCACATCAGTTTCATTGAAATATTTGCAGAATTGAAAACTTGAGACTTAATGGGTTAAACTATCAAATCTTTTAGATACAAAATATTCAACCTTGTATTTTCAGATAACTTCTAGATACTTCTTTTGCATAGTCTCCTCAAACTCAGTACATCTAAAACTGATTTCATTTCCCTTTTGTCAAGTCACTTCTTTCTCTTAACTTAGCTTTTTCATTTTTATCCCACCATTTTTTTAGTCAGCTAGGACTCAAACTTAAAAGTACTTTTGGATTTTTTTTTATATACTTCAGCACCATAAGAGAGTTACCAAATTCTGTTGATTTGTTTGTAAATGTATTAGAATTGCTTACCTTCATTTTTATTGCCATGACTGTCATTACATTTTACCTTTATAAATAGTATTCTTACTAATCTCATCACCCTTTGATAGATGGCATATTTATAAAATCAGTTTCTTAGACACTATAGGAATTTAATAAATAATTATTGAATGAAATGGCTCAAAATGCATGCTTTTCCCTCTGACAGTAGAGGATTAATTTGAGCATTAAGTAGATCATTTTTCCCTCCAAAATTGAATATATAATTTTTACAAAAATAAAATTTATGTTAAAGGGTAACTTTTAAGTACTTAACCCTGTGAAATTGGCCTGTGTTTAAACTTCACTGGGTTTGCTTGAGAATTTAAGACCTTTTCCCTAAATTTATGTAATTGATATGAATTTTAAAAGAATGACTGTATTCCATGGAATTAGTAGCTATGCCTTTTAGTTACTCTTCATATATTATATGCCTCTCAAGTGAGTAGCTGGGATTATAAGCCTGCACCACTTTGCCCAACTGCTTGTTCTTATACTTATTTGGTCATTGCATGAAACAGAGTGCAATCTCAGGCCTGCCTATCATCCATAAAGGCTATCAGAGATAGTCCCTTAGGGTTTAAAAAACAAAAACAAAAACCGTTGACTGGTATTAACAAAGAGATAACTTCCCACATTAACACAAATATTTTATTTTACACCAGAACCTGGCCTCTTGATATGTAGACCAATAAATGTTGTTGCCTGTCATTCTCATCTTTAATTGGAGTGATTGGAGGATGTCACTAATGTGTCAATCTGTTTACAGAAATCACTGCACAGTCAGATGCTAGTGAAATTCGACAAGACTGGAAACCGACATTCCTTAGTAATGAAGAGTTTACACAATTAATGTTAGAGGTATGTTCAGAATTAATTTTTGAAAAGTTTTGTTTTCCTCCACAAAGAAATCATAGGTGTGTGATTAATTGTTACATAGTCTTAGAAGTGTTGTTAATAATGGAAGATCTTAATTCACTGCAATTATGTATTCAATTAAAGTTTATCAAGTGTTATAAACAAATAATACTGTTTGATAGAGTAGCACCAAATTTTTATATTTTCAGTACCTGAATTTTTGAGATACTTAATGAAAGTCTATACTGAATTCTGAACCTGAGACTATACCAACTGCATCTGAAAAAGAGTAGAATTATTACTCATTACATGTTAGACATTATTATGAAATATGTCTGTTTTAGTCCATTTGAGTTGCTATACCAAAATACCATAAACTGGGTGGCTTGTGAAAAACAGAAATTTATTTCTCACAGTTCTAGAGGCTAACAGTCCATCAGCAGACTTGATGTCTGGTGAGAGCTCTTGATTCCTTGTTCATAGATGGTTGTCTTTTTTCTTTTACTTTCTTTACCCGCCCCCCCCCCCCCCCGTATGGGGAGTTGAACCTAGGGGTCCTTAACCACTGAGCCACATCCCAATCCCATTCCCAGCCCTTTTTATTTTTTGAGTCAGGGGCTTCACTAATTCACTGAGGCTGGCTTTGAAGTTGTGATCCTTCTGCCTTAGCCTCTGGAGCTGTTGGGATTACATGCATGTGCTTCCATGCCTGGTTTATCTTTTTTCTGTGACTTTATGTGGCAGCAGGAGCAAAGAAGCTCTGTAGGCCCACTTTTATAAGGGCACTAATCAAGTCCAACCTTCAAATACACTCATCTCATGAATTAGACTTCCACATAGGAATGTTTCAGAGGGACCCAAACATTCAGTCTATAGTAGTATCCTACTGGGCAGGAGACTATTTTTTTAAACCCTGAATTAAAATCTGCCCCAAACAACACAAAATAATAGAAAAAGAAGAGTTTGGAAAAATATAAATAGAAAAATAAAAAGTGAAATTTAGTAGAAGCTTTTAAAAGGAAATGAACAGATGTTCTTCTGTGACAAAATTATTTGAAGAACAATTCAGAGCACTTTTGCTTGTAATAACAGAACCTAATACCTCATACAACCAGTAATAATACCACAAAAGTTTTGAATTACTTACATTTATTAATTTTACTTTTCTACTTTTTAATCCTTCCCCATGGAGAATAATGTAGGTGTCACCTAAGCATACAAAGTATACAGAATTTAGTATCAAATTCCTACAAAAATTTATAATAGGAGAGAGGTAGTTTGCTAAGTTAAGGACAAGAAAAATACATATAGTAGACATAAATGCAAGAAAGCATTTGAGGTGAGGATATAGAGATTGTTAAATGTACTCACCTCTGTCCTTTGCGTTTATTATTTTAGATATTAAGCATTTATCTTTATAACATATGTATATGTAATGTCTGTGTCTCAAATATCTTTGTATATTTACTAAAGTCTGAAGCAAAGTATTTTGCAAATTAGAGTTTTTCTGCTTATACTTTAGGTGGAACAGTTAGTTGTTGGACTAAGTCTTTTTGTATTCCCCAGAAACATTGTCTTATGAAAATTTGTTGGAATATAAATGTGTTGTAAAATTTAAATCTCTACTTTGAAACTGAAAAATAACTGAGCACTTTTCACTTGTTAACTCATTGAATCCTCATAACAATCCTAGACTGTAGTATTTGTGTGTCATAATAACTAATATTATGAAGTAGATATTAATATCTTTTTCACTTCCATATAGGGAAATTAAGTAACAAAGGCATTATGAAACTTGTCTAAAATCACACAGCTAGTAAGTAGTGACTCAGCTGGGATTCACTGCAGGCAGACTGGCCTCTGATCCCAGACCCTTAGTTACTGTGGACATTGCCACCAAATTTTTATTTTTAGTGAAAGTCAACCATGGCAAGGAACTTTTTACTGTGTAACCAGCAGTTAGTTCTTTAAATTAGTATATACTTACTTACAAATCTTAGCTCCTAAATTTTGTTTGTTTTTTTCCTCTATAAAAGAGTTTGATATTGTCCAAAAATATGTCATATATGCTAATATAATGTGCTAATGTCTAGAACAGAAAAAGGAAATAACTGTTTCTAAATTTTATTTTATGATAATATTATCAGTGTCTGCAAGTCGTTTCATATGTTGTTTAATAATATTAATCATAAACTATTTGCTTTGTTGGCATGAAAAATTTCTTATAAATTAAAAAATTGGTGTAATATCTACTCTCATTTATTGATATCCTTAATGTTTACCAATAAGCATTAAAAGGTTATTTACAAATATTTCTTCCTAATGGAAAGTTTTTTTAATTAATTGTCAATAGATAAGCATTAAAGAAAAACTAAACCTAAGATTCTTGAGATTACTACATTTGTTGTGGTAACAGAGAAAACAGATATGTAAGAACTTTGAGAATATAATTCTCTCATGATTACCTTCATAGATTTTAGTATACATTCCTGAAAAAACATTTTCTTTATTTTTAATATGTCAAGCATTGTTAATATGTACAGCTATTAAATAAATATACATTCTGACGTTAATATACCAGAATGAAAGATAGAATTCAAAAGATATGTTAGATTTTACATTTCTAAAGTCTTTCCAGATTTGTTTATTGAATATGAAAAGTTTTGATTCATAACTTAAATAAAACTGACTTTGTTAGGGTGAAGTTCATTTGGCCAGAATATAACCTAGCTTTATTATCTTCTTGACCAGTCATGTTGATCAGATTAAAGATAAGCAGGTCACTTACTATTTTCAGCAGAATTTCAGATGTAGGCTATATCTTAGAATGTCAGAGCTGCTAGTAGAAGAGATTAGATCATTTAGTTCAACCTCTTCTTCATTTTACAAAGATACTGAGATATTGCAGTTTGTCCACAGTCAGGTAGCAAATTAGTGGAAGAACTGAAACTGAGGTCTTAAAATTCACTTAAAACTTATGTGCTGTCTGTCTCTCTCCCGTCCCTCATTGCCACCTGCCCCTGTTCCCCTCTCTTATTTGTTTCTGTTGCCTGAGAAATATTTCCTGCTGCCCTTGAAGGAGAAGGAATAGGCAAGGCAATCAGGATAGTTTAATCTGATCAATTCTTTGCAAAATCACCTTTATGTGAAGTAATGTCCTAGTATATATTTCTTATCCCTTGGCAACTGTCAGGTCTGTCCAGTAATCTACAAGGAGAGGGTTTGTGCTCTTTATCTTTGCTGTAGATCCACAAGGAACTTTTGTTCCCTTCCTTAGAATTTGCATTCTACTCTTCTCCCAACTAAACAATCACTGCTGGGGGTCAAGTGGATATCAAATAGGAAAACAAGTGGTTTTTAACTATGTGCTCTGGCCCTTTTTTTCATACAATGTGGGGGAGGCTCCATAGTCTTCATTCTTGAGATGAGAATGGTTCTCTGCCTTATTTAAGTCCCAAGTCTCTCTAATAATCCTCCTCAGGGAATCTTTAGTTTTTGGTATACACTTACCTCATGGGAAATTATGTCCCTCACTCAAAAGGTGTGTGGACACTCAGAGTCCTTCTGTGTGTCAAGACTTTGGCAAGATACAGTTGGAGGCTTTTCTTTGCTTACTCTCTGACTGCTTTGAAAGAGGAAAAGATCGGGCTTTAGATCGAGAAGTGAAGTTCTGATTTCAATTCATTTCTCTTTACAGAAGAGAGACGCACTCCAATCGATTTCTAGCAAATGACCTAATAGCAAGTAGATATATTATAGTAAATGTTGATTTGTTATCAGTGGTAACACAGTCTAGCTTCACATGAGAAAAGCACAGGTTTATTCTTAAAATCATTTTGGCCCTACTAAAAATAACAACAATAATAAGACAATTACTAATAGTGGAATAATACTGGTATTATTTTATTAAAGACTTTTAAAAATAATTTATAAATTGGCTTAAATTACAAGATTTCTACTCTCCTCTTCAATTAACTAAATATGGGTTTGCCTGAGCCATTCTAGAAGATAGGGATCTACTCAAAATAAGTTTTCTCTGCTGTCCAGATTTCTTCCCTCAAGAGCAGAGGAGGTAGAGGAGTACGTCTATTTTTTGTAATCTCAGCAATTACTTAGAACTAGAGGTTGCTTTCATTCCCAGGTTCATAAGTTATATACTATCAAAAGTTTTTACTTATACCATATGTTGGGTACTTCAGATATAAAGAAAACTAAGATTTGCTTTGTTCCTACCAAAGGTTACTGTCCAATGAGAGCACTCTTTAATTAAAAAGAAATTATCTTTAGCTGTCCACTGGATCTTCCTTTTCCTCAGCCTCAGATATCCTGGTTATTCTTTTGTTGTTGTTTAAATGCATTCCCCTAATACTTGGTCCCCTTAAAACTGTTTTTTTCCTCCCTCCCTCCCTCCTCCTCCTCCTTTCCTCCCTCCCTCCTCCCCTCCCTCCCTCCCTCTCTCCCTCCTCCCCTCCTTCCCTCCCTCCTTCCCTCCCTCCCTCCTTCCTTTTCAGGGAGCACTGTTTCTTAGTGCTCACCTAATAAAGTTTATGAATGAGTGGGTTATGTTAGTCTCTTATTACCCACTCATTCTAAACTCATCAGAGTCTTATTTGCCTTCCTGTTGACATAACTCTTGTGAAAATCACCAAACTTCATTTCCTTATTCCTTATCCTATTTGATTTCACTCCTATTTATCCTCACTGACCTTGTCATACTCTATTCTGCCACCTTTTTTTTTCTAATTGTGCTGAAGATTGAACCTAGGGGCTTGCTCATGCTGGGCAAGCACTCTTATCATTGAGCTATATCTCCAGCTTTTAAATTTTTATTTTGAGACAGGATCTTGCTAAATTTTCCAGCCTGGCCTTGAACTTGATATCCTCCTATTTTAGCTTCCCGAGTAGCTGGGATTACAGGATGTGCCACCAAGTCCAGCTTTTATCCGCTTCTTTAATGACAGTGTATTCTCCTCTTCTTCTCATCCCTATATGCAGGTCATTCTTCCTAGTATTTGTTTTTGGCATGTTTCTGTCTTTTGAAGATCTCATTTCTTCAGCTGTCATTTCTGTTCCTAGAATTCTCAAATGAAAATACTTTGGAAAATATGAAATGTAGGATTGTTTTGTTGTTAAGTCTAACAACAAGATGGTCTAACATCTCTCCCAAAGAAGTTCATATTTCTCAGTACTCACCTAATAAATCTTTTCTTCTCTTTTCCTCTTATTAGAATTTCTTTCAGAATCTCATGAATAATTTCCCAAAAGCCACTGACTCAGTCCTCTGTTCCCTCTAAGTCCATTTTATACACTTCTTCTAGACTACTCTCTTTAAAGCACATTTTAGGGAGCTAAAATGTGTTGACTTCCCGTTGTGTATAGAATTAAGTCTTTGTGACTTAACTTGGTATTTGAGGCTTTGATGATTTGGCCTCAGCCTAGTTTTGCAGTTAATTTCCTACCACTTCCTTTATTTTATTACCTATGTATCTCCCTACATTTCAATAATACACTTCTCTGTTAATATACATATCCAAAATAATAATGATGTGTTCTCTTTTGTGCTGACGGTGTATTATTGGTAGTATGTATACTTTGAAGATGTTAGCATTTTTAAGCCATGTTATATATATAGTTGGATTGTATAATGTATATAGTGATAAAGGCAGAACATTAGTCTTTATGTGTAGAAATCAACTGTTCAGTAGATAGCCAGAGAGTGATTCCCCCCCCCCCCGAAGACATTTAAAGATACATAAATAATACATTTAAAGGTACTATAAAGGGGAAAAGATAGGTCAGTACTATGGATATTTCCACGTTATGTCCCTAGACATTTATCTTATTTCTGTCCTGTTAAATACTTTTTTCATTTAACTGACCATTATGTTTAATTTCAGGCTCTTGATGGTTTTTTTTTAGCAATCATGACAGATGGAAGTATAATATATGTGTCTGAGAGTGTAACTTCATTACTTGAGCATTTGCCAGTGAGTATAAAATCCTACAGTCTCTTTCTTATTTCATGTCCATTTTAAATATCCTAAAGCACCCAGAAGTAGACTTGAGAGCAGTGTTGAACAGTGATTAAGGGTGGGGATAAAAGCTCTAAGTATGTCTTTTCTCAAATCAGTCATCACTCTAATCTGTGGTAACTGAATATTCAACTGCACTTGAATCTCAGTTGTTCTTCCCTTCTTTATTCTAATGCTAACTTTTTAGTGTTTCCTAGAATATCTTGAGAATAATCAATGTTCTGCTGAGATACTGTTGCAAGTAGGCTAACTCAAATAATTTTCTCAAAGGAATGACTTATAAAAATATACTAAAAATAGTGGGTACAGAACTTTTTGCTATGACTTAAATTGATAATGTAATAATGACCATACTTAGTTCATTGTCAATACTACTGAAGGTATAAAGAATTAGAAAAAAAATGTGTAATTGTGAGAAGGGTAGTGAATACCTAAATTGTCTTTGCTTTTTCATTCAACATGTATTTTTTGTACATCTTTTCTGTGTCAAACACTTGTTAAGTGTTCTGCTGCAGTTGATGGTATTTGAAATGAATTTGCATTTTTTATTTAATAGTTCTTATCTAAACTGGCTCTTGAAGTATACATATTCTAACATTATTAATAAATTACTCTTAAAATGTCTTTCTTTTGATAATTCATAACAATGCAAATAAATTGCCCTGTAAATGTCACTTTTAAGAGATATTGAAAAGCAGTAATTCCCTTTGGTGACTGTGCTGCTTCATACTTCATAAAGAGAATGGATTCTACACTTAAAGCCAGGCATTGAGTGATGTACTGGTATCTTTGGTTCACATAGAAAATGACCAGATTTTTACCGCTTTTCTGCGGGGGCGGGGGGGAACTTTCTTTCCAATAGGCTCAAATAGTAGGTGATGAACCCAACATCTAAAAAATTATCTGAGCAAAGTATGAGATTATAACAGCATGCAAGTAAACTAGAATGGACAGAGAGAAGGGTAGACCAAGCGGATTATGTGGGCAACTATTTTTTTTTTTTAAATTTGCATAGCAAGAAAACCTAGGGAAAGAATCCCTTTGTATGAATAAGCTGTGATGTAAGTAATTTGAGAATAAGTATAGTAATAAGTATATTTTATATACTTTTAAGCCATGTAGAATTGTATTGGTTTTTCTTTCATTTGTGTAACTATATATTAACTTTTTGTTTAGTCATAATGAGAGCATCATTAGCAAAAGCCTGCTTCTCGATGGTGTCCTTGAACTCCATTCAGAATTTGAGGCCTGTGGTGTCTGTTGTCTTTCACCTTCTACATACTTGAGTAAACTCTCATTTTGTTCACTTGGATTTGTTAGGGTAGTTGTAAGATTCTTAGAAATTCTAGTTGGTTTCTCAGAGAGACATGTGGTGATTATTTACTGAGTAGATGGAAATGAGCAGGCCACTTGCTGTGCCTGTTTTTTTAAAAAAAATTATTTTTAATGGCACGTTGGTGGTGAGTCTTTTGTGAGGGAAAGTTTAATTACATTTTGAAATAAGCAACATGTGACAAATCTAATTGGAGTCAAGTGTTTGATCATTAACATCCCACACTCAATAAAAACCCTCCCAATTTCCTCATGGAATTTTAACTTTTTAGAATCATTTTTAGGTTTACAGAAAAATTCTGACAATGGGAACAGAGAGTTCCCATGTGTCTCACACTCTGGTTCCTTGGTTATTGATATCTTCTGGGTTTTGTTTTTGTTTGTGATATCTAAAGAGTATAGATTGACAGGTGAATTTTTAGGCAAGGGAGATTGTTGCCCATCCAAGGGACCATTTCTTTCCATACTGAATTATAATATACTTTATTAGAAACAGTTTTTTTTAAAAACTGCTTTCTAGTTACTGTGGCTTTCCCTTGCATCACTGACATTGAATTAAGTTTCTTGATGGTTTGAAAGCATAGACACAGCTTATTTTGAAAAAGCTAATCCTTGTTTAAGATCCAACATAAGAAAAAAATTTGATTTTCTATTTTGCATTGTCATTAATAATTAAACTACAAACTATAAAAAATCGTGCTAAATAAAAGGTCTAAAACAATGATATTCTTTTTTGGTATTTTAATATGCATCCCTATTTTGTCTAAAAGAGAATTTGACTTTTGCCCAGAAGAAGAGAAACACTAGCAAATCCCTAGATTTGGCTTTAGCGTTTACAATTCAGTTCTGTTTAAAAATTAAAACTTGCCACTTTAATGAGTGGATGGTAATGACTTAAAATTTTTCAGTTTCAATTTAAATCTGATTTAAAATGATAAGATTGACTTAAAATTATAAGAGTCTATATATGGGTCCTACCAAAACCAATTTTCTTTATCTCATACTTGAAAAAATCAGTAATTTTATAATTTATTTGGGTGCACTTTAACCTATTTATGACTGATAATCAGGTATAAATGTTTTTATTCACTTTAAGATTAGAAACAAAATTTAAGAAATATTTTTTCCTTTCCTTTCTGTTAACAAAATCATAGAGTCATATAGTTCAGTGCCAGAGGGATTAGAGATCATTAATGGTCCCTTTACATTAGATAGAAAAACAAGAGTAAAATAGACTGAATTACAATTTATTGAAATAAAGAAGAAATAATAAGAATAAACAGTAGTAGAAAACAATAATCATTCTCAAGATGAAATTTTTATTTTAAATGGTATATCTTATTTTTCTATCAAGACTTTTTAAAATTTGTATCAGTGACTATCTTTGATATATTATTGTCAATACAAGATATTTTTCTAGCATTTTTATTATACAAGCCTGTATTTTTAATTCATTCCTTCAGTTCTAGGACTTTTCAAACTTCAAGAATAATTCCTTATTAAGATATAGATAACAGTTTTGGTGTGTTTACCCCTTAGACCATTATTAAATAGCTTGTTAGCCCCAAATAACTTACTTATTATGCTAATAGTTGTTAAATGCAAGGGGCAGGGTTTAGGTTTCCTTGATTGGATGGGAGAAAGAGGAAGGTATAAGAGATGGGGCCCTTTCATCCTTCATGGGGCAACAGGACATAAACATTGAAACAACAAATATTTTTAATGGGAAATGAATAATTCACATCATTAATTAATGGTAAGTATGAAATACTATGCAATAAGTACTAAAAAAAATTATTGTGGATTTTGGTGTTAAGGGAAAGCTTTTTTAAAGGAAATAATTTGAAAATTTTTCAAAGAATGGAGGGTACTGATATATGGAGGTAGGGGAAGGCTGTTTCACTTCGTGGGGTGAACTTTGAGGGCTAGAGGAAAAACAGAACGAATATGGATGTATGGCTTATGTGAGGAGTAGTCAAGCACTCCTCTCTAGCCTACCATCTCCCGTGTCTCTCTTACTCTTTTTTGTTGTTTTATTGATTTTATTTTTAAGCAACAGAGCTGTTCAGAGAAAATCTTAAAAGATGTATAAATAGAAACAAAATGAATGCATAACTACTTTGGTTGAAAACAGACCTACCTTCCTATTTTTTTACTTCCTAATCTCTTCATCCCTGCCTCTACAGTCCTTGAGATACCCACTCAGTATTCCTAGGATAGTACAGGGCAATTGAAAATGTAGAGAAATCAAATAGAATGGACTGTATTCAGTAAAAAAATGTGAAAGTCACTGGAGTTTGGTTGTCATTAGTACTTCATGATAGAATTATCCTATTCATATTATCATATTCATCTTTAATTCCACAGCCATCACATACTGTAGGCACCCTGAAGCTTCTCAAATTATTGTTGATTAATGAATCATAATTAAAGCCATATATCAGCAAGAATGCTCTGTTTGAGCAAGAACTTTTTAACAATGAAATATCGAATAGATGCCTGGAAAAGATAGAATAAAAACAAAAGGGCACATTGGACAACTGAAATGACAACTAAGTCAGATCTCCTTTTTGTTTAACCAGACACTGGTCCTTTGTAGTTATGTCTACTACCATCATTTAGCATAGGTTTGAATAAATGGTAAGGCTATCTTGTAGCTAGAGATTTCTGATTAACTTTCTTAGTCCTATTGTATTTTAAAAAACTTAGCAAAACTCAGCTTTGCAAATAATACACCAGGCTTTTAGGTCATATTGGTCATAGATTTGATGATACTAATATCGGAGGATGAGGGTAATATTAACCTTCTTCCAGTTTTTCAATCTTGTTTTTAAAGATGTATTCTGTTACTTGACATTTGTTGGTTTTCTTAGATAATTGAAAGTTAATCATTCATACTCTTGTTTGATAGTGATTTTACATTTTCAAAATAAATGCTTCTTGAATCATTAAACTATTTTATTTTTTAAAATTTATTTTTCAGTCTGATCTTGTGGATCAAAGTATATTTAATTTTATCCCAGAGGGGGAACATTCAGAGTTTTATAAAATACTCTCTACCCATCTGCTGGAAAGTGATTCATTAACTCCTGAATACTTAAAATGTAAGTAGTGACTGTGAAGAACAAACTCAAATATTATATTTGATAGCCTTATCCTTTACTTTTTTAAGTTTGTGAAAAATAGACATATTTAATAATTTAAAATGCAGCCAGTCATGATAGTGCACTCTTCTAATCTCAGCGGCTTGGGATGCTGAAACAGGAGGATCGCAGGTACAAAGCCAGCCTTAACAACAGCGAGGCGCTAAGCAACTCAGTGAGACTCTGTCTAAATCAAATACAAAATAGGGTTGGGGATGAGGCTCAGTGGTTGAGTGTCCCTGAGTTCAATCCCCAGTACTCCTGCACATACACAAAAAATGTAAAATACAGCATTGTTCCCTAAACCCTATTGTGTGCTTTTTAAATATTAAAAATGTATGTATATGTGTATACATGTATCTATATATAATGGAATTGTGTTCATATTTTAAATCTGAAATCTGTTCCAAAGTATACTGAAATTTCATCTTGTTTTGTTATAATAAATCTGACCACAGCTAAGCCATGATATTGTTTTATACAGAAATGGAAACCTGGCAATCAATATCTTTTTAATATTTGAATAAAATCATGTTGTATTTATTGATATAGATAATTAAACCTTCTTGTTTTGTTCATTGTGGACTAAGTGGGCACTCAAACTATGGAGGAAAAAATTGCAAATCTTTTAAGATTATTAAATTAAAAAGAAAAATTATTTACTTTTTAAATTAAACTGATTTAAGTAACCTTTTATTGGATGTGTGTAATGTGCTAGGCACTTATGCTTTATTATAAAAAGAACCAAAATAGTGAAAAACATTTCTTACCATCAAAAAACACAAAATATTATGGTATAATTGAACATTTCTACTAGATTTGTTAGGCAAATAGTACACAACATTTTCTTCACTGTTACTCAGTATGAACTTCAGAATCGTTACATCACTGTATTTGGCCATTAGTTATTAGACATCTTCTTTAATAATTTTTTTTCATGTTTTTTTAAATGTTTCCTTATTTGGAAATAGTGACATCAATCATCTTAAAGCTTCTTTGTATTTAAATCCTAAAATTCTATAATCTATTAATGACTGTCCAAAAATTAAGATATACAGGTGTTTATCTTTTGTTAAGAATGGCTAGCTTTTCAGGGAGAGAATTCATTTGAAGCCTAGCTGTAATTTTTTATAATCAAGTTTGTATGACATTGACCTAGGTCATTATAATCTTAATATTTAGGAGAAAGATTTGACTGGATCTAATAGATACAAAAGCCAATAATGTGCCTATAAGTAGTATTTGAGGTAATGAAATGAACAATATTGCTTGAGGTAAATATATAGAGTAAGGAGAGAAGAATTAGAAAGGGACCCTAGGAGAGAGAAACAGGAGGACAAAGAAGAAGGAATTGACTTTAGAGACCCTCACAAGGACAGAATTGGCCATAGAAGTGAATCAAAATATCGGGCATAAAGTAGAGACCATAGACTTCTGTTTCTAAGATCAGAGATGAGAACAGCAATACTACTTTTCAGTAGATAAATCAATTAAGTGCATTAAGCATTGGATACACAAAAGAAGTTCTTCCCCAGAAAAAAAAGTGTTTGATGTGAGTTAAAACTTAGGGGACATTGCTTAGAAAGTTTAGTAGGTCATTTTGGTTGTGATGAAGGTGGTACATTTGATGTAATTTATGTCTAGAAAGGGAAATAAGGGCAGAATTATAAAGAGCCTAATATTTCATCCTATAGAGTTTTTATGTTTTACATTGTGGAGAGTGAGTGAAGGAGATTTGGGTGGTTTTATAATCAGAAGGGTGAAAGGGGAGTCACTTGAGTAGAAAATTTTGAAAAGGACTGCACTCAGGACAAAAAGGGAAAATTGATATTATTGTTGTAATCAAAGTAAGGATGAAGAGGAAAGTATATGAATGTTATGTAGGGAAACTCGGTAGGCTCTATGTTAGGTACTGGTGACCAAGCTGGGGAGGGTTTTGGGAAGACGATGATACTTAGATTTTGAACCTGTTGAGTTAGATGATAAAACCATTTATTTTGATAATAAAAGAGCATGAGCTTGATGTGGTGAGTGAAGGAAAGTGTTACTAATCCTTGAGTGTTGAAGCAATGCTATAAAAATAGTATTAGTCTAAGTCTTACCAGTGATCCGCTCTGACAAGATGAGCTGGGTTCCAAAGAGCTGGCTGCAACATGAAGCTAAGAAAATGGTGAAAAGTCACACAATACAGAAGTAGTTTTCATGTCGAGGGTAGGATGGCTCTGCGACCTTAAGGGTCAGCTTCCACACTGGAAGGTGCTGAAAAGACAGCGTGCACCCAGAATCTATTTTTATAGGGGGGACACACAAAGGAGATTCCAGAGAATGTTCTTCACCAAATAAGGTGTGGATTAAGGTTTTAAAGGTAGAGTCTTGCTTCGTGGTGTTTTGTGGTCAGCAGATTGATTGACATCTTGGCAAGTCACTGGTGCTGTATGGGATCACAGGCAGAGCGAGAGAAGCGGTGCACTTGCGTCGCACAGCCCAATCAGTGTGCCAGACCTGTCCCCTCATATAGCTCCAATGAGCATAGCTCACACACACAGCCCATGGATGGCTTGCAACAGTCTAAGTGTAGTAGGAAGGGATGAATCAGAGGCAAGAGAGTGGAGGCACAATGAATAAATGTTTCAGCTATCTAGGTGCGAGGCAATTTGTGACTGCACTGAGTTGATGGTCCTAAGTGTTAAGTGGAAAAATGATTTATGAGAGTTTCCTTGGTGAAATAAATATCAGGGCCTGGTGACAAATTAGCTTTGGGATTTGTAATAGGTAGAGAAGAGAGCAAATTGATATGTAGAGGAAGTAGGGATATGGTTTCTAACTTTGAAATAAGTATACATATGGCAAAGAGGACAGCTAACTTAGGAAGAAACAGGAAAAATTCACTTTCAAATACTTCGAGTTTAAATTACTGATGGGACATTGAGTGGAAATATCCTAAAAGCAAATAATGATATGAGAATTTGTGTCACATAAAATGTTAGTGTTGGGGAAAGATATGGAGTGGTAAATAAGATTTCCAAGACCAGTCAGTTTATAGCAGATCTCAAAAGATGAAGATCAAAAGAACCTTTGTGAAGTTTGCTAGTTTTTGAAGATAGTTTAGCAGAAAACAGAGGAATAGTCAATAGGTAAGAAGGCAAGTTCATGTTACAGGAATGAGGAAGTGTGAAATGAGGAAAAACTATTGAAGTTGACAGTACAAATGTTGATAGGCTTTAGAAGAGTAGAGGTGCAAGGATGCAAGCCATAGTGCATGAGGTAAAGGGAAGTGAATACATGAAAACAGGAACACTTACTGAAAAGAAAGGAGATCTCTGACACTAAAAAATGAAAAAAAAAAAAAAAAAACTCTTTGAAATGGAAGGCCTGATCAAATTTAAAACTGTAGAAATTAAGGACCTAAAGAAGAAAATTCATTAGATACATTCTGTAATCATCTTTTCATGATTTTTAAATGTTGCCTTATTTGGTAATAGTGACATCAGTCATCTTAGAGCTTGTTTGTATTTGAATTGTTAAATTCTATAATGTATTAGCAACTGTCCAAAAAAAAAGTGATGTAGACCTGGTCTTTAGAAGATAGGAACAGCAGCTATTCAAAGTAGAAGCATTAGCTTTAGACTGGGAAGCAAACCCTTTCTTTGAAATTAGAGTGAAAAATGAGAAAGGACAGGTAAAAATAGAGAACAGTAAGTTGTTTGTACAAGGTGAAATAGCTCTTGAAGGTACTTTACTTTTATGGACTGAATAATCTGTCATTGAAGACGTCTGCTGAAGAAAATATGAACTTATTCAACAATAAAAAAAAACTTTTGTAATCTTATTTCATGTGATATATGACAGATATTGACTTTTTAATCATTTATTTCAGCAAAAAATCAATTAGAGTTCTGTTGTCATATGCTTCGAGGAACAATAGATCCAAAGGAGCCATCTACCTATGAGTATGTGAGATTTATAGGAAATTTCAAATCTTTAAACAGTGGTGAGTTAAATGCTTCTCTTAGAATGTATTTTAAAACTTCATATTTTTCTAAGTAACAGCCAGATTTTACTGGAATAACTGATGATACATATTTCCTTACTGTTTTAGTATCTACTGCTGCACATAATGGTTTTGAAGGAACTATACAACGCACACATAGACCTTCTTATGAAGATAGAGTTTGTTTTGTAGCTACTGTCAGGTTAGCTACACCTCAGTTTATCAAGGTATGTTTCTAATTTAAGTGCTTAAGAGGTTTTCAGTTTTTATATAATTTTTAATATAATTTTATATAATTTTTGTCTCTAGAATGACTGAATTTTCCTGCAAGCATTGAAGTAGTAGTGGCTATTAAATATGTATGATTATGATTATGATTCTGATATTTCAGAAACAATGAGTTATGAAAACACTAATTTTTTAGCATATATTGCAGTTAGCCAGTGATTATGTGTCACCATTTGCCCTGCTTTTTTGCCAGATTTAGGATACTTGGTATATAATTCACCTTCTTCACTAAAGGAGAAAGTCCAAAAAAATCTAGGTAATTTTTGAAAGATTGTTTTTGAAATTTTCTTTTGAAATGTGTAAGTGGCTTTTATTGCATATAATTTACCTTTTACATTTTCAAATTTAAGTAATTTATTTTTATTTCCTGGGCCCAACAAGCAGGAATGAAGAAACCAGGACAAGATTTGCGAGACACATGATTTAGGACACTAGTACTGAGTTAGCAGTTAGAAGATCCAAAATCAGTCTTGTTCTGCTTGTTTTGATCTTAGGAAGTAATAACAGTAGCTAGTGTTTGAGCACTTATTGCATGCAATACTTTTTTATATGCATTATCATGTAATTCTTATAACAGCCCTGAGATACATGCTGTTATAGTCCCTATTTTGTATATAAGGAAACTGAGGCTTAGAGAAGTTAAGTTTCTTCCCCAAAGTCTCTATTAAATGTCAGAACTGGAGTCTTGATTCTTTTTCTTTCAGAGCCCAGCTCCTTGATATATTAACATTGTGCTGCAGGAGGTTATTTAAGGGTACAGAGGAAGTTTATAATATATTAGCTAGTGTGACCAGAGTCTAGGGTTCATATATTGGAGAAAATAGGAAAGTAGGAAGTATGGCTAGAAAAGTAAGCAAAAGCAAGAAATGAAACTTATTTCTGTTTTTTCTCCATGCTGAAGAAATTTCAGTATGAGGACCCACAGAAGATTTTTAAGCAAGAAAGTTACCTAAGCATATTTGAGTATTAGTAGAGTAATTGTGACCCCAGAATAGAAGACAAATTGAAGGACAGAGAGGCTGTTTAGTTAGATGTTAGCATAGTAAGATGTCACTGATGGTGATGATCTAAACTAAGCCATAGAAAATGGATGGGATATAGATTTTTTTTTAAAGAATGTTAAAAGGTGAAATTGAGAAGATTAGTAGTGGCCACCTGGATGCTAAAAGGAAAAAATGAAAGAGTATGTTAGGAATATCAGATTTCTAGACTTTGGCACTGCACAGGTAGGTGTCCATCAATTAGTTGGAAAATTGTACAACTGTACAATTAGTTCATTTTAGGGCATACTGTTTGAGGTGTATGGGGCTATCTGAAGAGTAATATAGAACAGTAACTCAGGAGAGAAGTCTGAAGCAATAACTCTACAGTCTGCATTTTAGTATCATTTATTGCTCCATTTAAAGTTGTTATCAAAGCAGGGTGTGGTAATATACTCCTATAATTCCAGTGATTTGGAAGGCTGAGGCAGGAGGATTGCAAGTTTGAGGCTAGCTTCAGCAACTTAGCAAAGCCCTAAACAATTTAGTATGAGACCCTGTCTCAAAATAAAAAATAAAAAGGGCTGGGGATATGGCTCAGTGGTAAAGCACCTCTGGGTTCAAACTCTTACCAAAAGAAAATATATATTTTTTTAATTAATTTTTTTTCAAAGGTGTTCAAATGCTGGCCTTCCTAGGCTAGCACTTGACCACTGAGCTGTATCTCTAGCTTATCACATTTTAGTACTAAAAAATTAAATTTTTTAAAAATTTATTTAGGGAAAAGTCATCTAACAAGGATTCTTCTAAGAACACAGGGAAGTATTTCTGAATTTTAATTATCGATTTATTTATAGGAAATGTGTACTGTTGAAGAACCCAATGAAGAGTTTACATCTAGACATAGTTTAGAATGGAAGTTTCTATTTCTTGATCACAGGTAATTAACTTCATTTTTAAACTTTATAAAAAAGGTAATAGTTATGTTACATTATTCTTGACTAATGGATTTTAAGGACAAACTTTTTTTCTAATCAGGATTTTCAAATCCATTTTCCATTTTTAAAAAAATAGCTCCCCAAATTAATATCTGGTTAAAATGTTTCTTGTGGGGTACTTGTAATGTTATTGTTTTTCAACTTAGGGCACCACCAATAATAGGATATTTGCCATTTGAAGTTTTGGGAACATCAGGCTATGATTACTATCATGTGGATGACCTAGAAAATCTGGCAAAATGTCACGAACACTGTAAGTAAATTTTAATATTTCTGGTAAGGTTAACTTTTTAAAATTATATAAAGAGAAATCTTGTCCCATTAATGAAAGGTAGTAAAATGTAGATTTGCTGTAATTTTTTGTAAGTATATAAAATAGAAACAAGTTTAGTTTAAATTTGATCTGATTCCTACTTGATTGATTATCCATATAAAGCTGAATCTACCAGTATATTTTAAAAATACAAAGTTTCTCAAATTAACCACAAAAAACACACACACTTTGCTTACCATCTGTTAAAGACTTCAGAACTCAAAACCTACAGAGCATGTGTTGGGAATAACAATTACTTCAAACAGTGATGTTATTTTGCTTTTGGTTAGTTAAGGGTTACAAAATAAATGCCTCAGAGATACTGTACTTGAGAGTGTCTATGGGAAAAAGAAGGTCTGATGTGATTACTTCCTGTTGCTACCCTTAGTAAATATAGAAGGAAATCAGCAGTTGAATCCTTGAATATTTGGAACTTTTATTGTATATGAAAAGTATATAAGATCAGCAGTGACTGGCTTCAAAGTTTGACACTATAGAAGATGTGAAAATTACTTGAGAACTTAAACCAGCCCTAAAGAATTGCATTTTCCTATCATTGGTGTATATATTTTTTGAAAAACCAAGAGAAGAACTATATGTAGAATGAACTATATGTAGAAGAACTATATGTATCATTTAAATGTAAATGATAGTTTTTGATTAAAAAAAAACAGATTCTTCATAACTAAGTATGAATCAAAATATTTTTTATTTTCTTTTCAGTAATGCAATATGGGAAAGGCAAATCGTGTTATTATAGGTTCCTGACCAAAGGGCAACAGTGGATTTGGCTTCAAACTCATTATTATATCACTTATCATCAGTGGAATTCAAGGCCAGAGTTTATTGTTTGTACTCACACTGTAGTAAGGTAATAATTCTTTCAAAGAACTTTTGAATTATGATAACATTCTTTAACAATTTTGGCAATGTAATTTTTATGCCTGACATAGTATATAAGTTTCTAAATCACGGTAACTTGACCTTAATGTTTTAATGTGTCAAACTACAAAGTAATCTTTTTTTTAATATATTATTAAATTTTCTTACATGCATTTTAGGAATGTCGTATAAGTAGTAGATATATAATGCTTGACATAAGTTCTGTGCTTTACCGCAGAATTCATACTGTCACTTATGTACCAAAGTCAGTTATGCAACAGGAAAACTGGAAAGAGCATACTCTTTCATTTTTTAATTCCTCTTAATATACATACTGTGTTGTCAGAGATCATTTATAGTAGCATATAAAATTTTCATATACCTAGAAAAATGCAAATTGAATTAAGAGTACCCTGTAGATGTGTTTTAGGTTTGTGTAGTACATAGAAAAGAGTCTAGAATTAGTGAAAAATTTAAGTGAAGCACATAACAAATATTGAATGGTTGCAACTCTGCAATATCTTAATGAATGAACAAACACTAAAATTTGATTTTTTCAATTTATAGTTATGCAGAAGTTAGGGCTGAAAGACGACGAGAACTTGGCATTGAAGAGTCTCTTCCTGAGACAGCTGCTGACAAAGTATGTTTCTTATAGTCTTTTAAAAATATAATTACCTAATTTCTTGCCATTGAAACTCAAACTCAATCAGTAGGAAAATTGCTTCTCAAATACATCCTTTTCTCAAGTATGACAGTATTATTATACTTTACTGTTTACTTTCATTTTTCATTTAATATTTTAAAATTTCATTTACTTCTAAAAAAAATTGAAGATCTTACCATTTAGCAATAATAAGGATAGACATCTAATCTCAGATTAAAACTACTATTATTAGTTACCTTTGATGTGCTAGACTTTAGCTTGATTCTTCATATGAATTATGGTGTGTGATTTACTACTTGGATCCTTAATCTCATAAGTAATATCTCCATTATGAAACCACTGAAACTCAGATTTAAAGGAGAGGGTTGAACCTGCCCTTCATGAAACATGACTGAGAACTTATAGTCAGAAATTGAACTTTGGTTTCTTTCTTTTGCTCATGTTGAAGTATAGTATATTACTTCTCTGTTGCTATGTAATGGTTTCTCCAGAATTAGTGATATAAAACAATACACATTTACTATCTCTTAGATCATGTGCATCAGGAATCCAGGCACAGTTTAGCTGGGGCTTCCACTTGAGGATCCATCAGAAGTCTAAAGTCCTCTCAAAGTTCCACTCAGGCACTGTTCATTTCCACCTCACTCAGTGGTTGTTGGCCCAATTGTTCCTCATGGGCAGTTGGACTAAGGGCTTTAGTTCCTTGATGGCCAGAGGCCACCTTCATTTCCTTTCCAGGTGACCCTTTCCATCTGAGCAAGCATGCAAGAAAGTACAGGAAGAGAAAGTACCAGGCAATTGTACTTAAAAAGTTTTTGCTTTTTAAGATGAGAGAAATAATAGCATGTTTGTATACTAAGAGAATGATCTGGTAGAGCAAGAAAAGTTGAGCAGTGTTTTGATTAGGTAAGAGAAGGTGGGATCTAGAACACAAGTGGAAAGATAAGGTTTAGCTAGGGGGACAGATTATTTGACCATAACAAGAGTTGGCAGCCTGAGGCCTGAGGCCAAATCTGGCTCTCTGAATGTAATGCCCACAAACTACAAATATTTTTACATGTTTAAGTGGTTGAAAGAAAATCAAAAGAATAATAATGCTTTATGACACATGAAAAGTAAATCAGATTCATATTCTAGTGTTCATAAATAACGTAACCACATACTTTCATACATTCATTTATAAAGTGTCTGTAGCTCTATTTGTACTGCAATAGCAGAACTAAATAGTTGTGACATATTCTATGGCCCACAGAACCTAAGAGATTGACTTTCTGAAAGAACCAGTAAATGTTACAGAAAGAATTGATTGATCCCTGATTTATAGCAACATGAAGAAGGATAAATACGTGACTATCACATTTTCACAGTTACACTCTCACTTTATGTCTTCTGACTATATCCAGCTTAAATTTATGGTTAATTATTGTAACCATGCATGTATCTTCAGCTCCCTAGCACCTGTCACCCTTTATCACAAATCCTTGGCAAAATCTCAGTGTTGGTTAAACCCAGCTGTTAAATGGATAGGTATAGTAGTGAGAGCTTATAGCAGTACTCTCAGTAAATAGAGTTATCAGCCAAGAGTCAAGTAAGGACAGGAGTTTTTGGAGGTTTGAGAAGAGAAGTGAAAGTGTTAAATGGTTGTGTAGGTGAATAGAAAAGTGACTATTCTAGGAAATTATAGTCTGCTTGGCAGGCAGAATAAAAGCCACTTGCAGTTCTTGGTCATTTATTTGATATGAAAAAATAATCATATTGTGTTTCTTCTGCCATGTTCAGCTCTGTAGGAGCAGATATGGGAAAAATAAAAAATAAAAAAATGGGTTTAACCAACACTGAGAATTTTGCCAAGCAAGTGTGATTAAGGGAAATAGGAACTAAGAAATTAAAGATACATACATGGTTATAAACAATTAGCCATGAATTTAAGCTGGATAAAGAGAGAAGACACAAAAAGAGAGAATGTGATTGTGAAAATATGGTTGAATACATATATTGTGGGTTCCTTTTAAGCCTAAGGATTTTTGGAATTGAGATACTAAAAGGAATGAGTAGGAAATATGGGAATTGTGGTCAGAGAAAAAGATGATTGAAACTGAGATTATGGGAAGGTTTATTCTTATTGAAAATGACTCTAGGATATGACTGTAAGAATCAGTGGATGAGGACTGGTGGAAGAGGAGATCTTTGGAGGAGAGTACAATAAGGAAGAGAGAGGTTGTAGTATTGAATGTTTCTGTGAATAACCTTGGAATTAATAGTTAATGAGGGGAATACTGAGCCAGATTCTAAAATTTAATTGTTGTGAAGTGACCATGGGGTCTGTACATAACTGTAAGAGACAGTGAGTTATAGCATATGATTTAATGTTAGTTTCAGAGTTGTGAGTTTGGGGAAAGAAGAAAGGGGAAGTGGTCTGGAACCATCAGTAGAAGGACTTTTGTAGAGCTGTGGTCTGAGAGTTGTGAGAGATAGAATAGACACTGCTGAAGAAAACTACAAGGAAAGTAGTGTCCTCTGGGGCAGTATGGGTTTTAGTTAGAGCAAGCCTGTGAAGGAATGTTCAGAGCTGAGGTTGAGAATACAGAGCATTTTTAAAATTGTAGACACTTGGGGCTAGGGATGTGGCTCAAGCGGTAGCGCGCTCGCCTAGCATGCATGCAGCCCGGGTTCGATCCTCAGCACCACATACAAACAAAGATGTTATGTCCGCCGAAAACTAAAAAAAATAAATAAATATTAAAATTCTCTCTCTCTAAAAAAAAATTGTAGACACTTAATGCAAGCGGGAGGTTTAGAAGGCTAGGAAGCAGTGGAAGTTGGAGACAAATAGAATGAAGGACTGAATGAATAGTAGTTAGGGTAGAGGAAACAAGGCATAGGGTGATATCACTCCTGTTTTTTTCCCCTAAGCACAAGTAACTTTGAGATCATACTATTTGTGTATGTGTGCATGGGTTTATACAGATTTGTATATATGTGTACATATATATATTGTGCCCCCTTTTAAGTAGCTCTCCTGCAGTAAGAATAGGTATTTACTTCTTTTTTACTGCTGCATATGAGAGTTTTTGATAGGACACTTTGCTCTATTATAATTTGGAGGAAAAGAAGATAGGTGTACTGTATATACATCCTATATTAGCAGATAAGTTTATATTTTTGATGGTGGCAAGATTAATGTTCTCATCTGTATAAGGCAGGGCTGGTATAGGGAGACAGATTTAAGAGCAGTGAATACAACAGACACTAGTATGTAAAAACGTGGATGTGTAACTGATGTGATTCTGCAATCTGTATACAGGGGAAAAATGGGAGTTCATAACCCACTTGAATCAAATGTATGTAATATGATATGTCAAGAGCTATGTAATGTTTTGAACAACTAATAAAAAAAAAGGAAAGGCATGGAATAATTGTGAAGGGTAGGAAAGTGAGCTCAGCGTAAACAATGCTACTACCTAGTATTGGGTATCCATCTGAAGTTCATGATCCTTTAGTCAGACTGCACTTGTTCCTAGAGAAACCTTTGAGGAATTGAACTAGAAGAATAAAAGAGTATGGCTTAAAGTGGTATTTTAATTTGTTTTCTTAGAGGTGCTACAGTGTTGATGTCCAGGCAGAGACCGAGGGATGGAAGTAGGGGAAGGGAAAAAATTTACTAGAGATGAGTACAAAGCTAAGAAGTAGGATAAGAGAGGTTATTGGATGATTCTTCCTTATGGATATTGAAAGTTTGGAGAAAGATCAGAATTGGAGTAAAGATTTTGAGCCATCAAGTGCTGGGTTCCAAAGGTCATTACAGTATTTTGAATATAAAGTAAAATGTTATCACTATCTTTTTTTTTCTTTCTTAATGTGATAAGAAACAACATAAAATTGCCATTGAAAGGGTACAGTTTGGTGTAGTTACATATATTCCCACTGTTATACAGTTATCACTACCATCCATGCCCAAAACTTCTTTATCTTTCCAAACTCCAAACCCATTAAACAACTTCTCATTCTCCTGTCAGCCAACATTTTACTTAGTATTTTTTTTAGCTTGACTTCTCTAATTACTGCATATGAGTAGAATCATATAATATTTGCCCTCTTGTCCTGGCTTTTTTCATTTGCCATAATGTTGTCTGAGTTGATTATGTTGTAGCATGTGTCAGAATTCCCTTTCCTTTTAAAGCTGGGTAATATTTCATTGTATGTACATACCTTATTTTGCTTATAGGTTGCTGTTACCTTTTGGTCATTGTCATTAATGTTACTGTGAGCATACATGTACAAATAACTGTTTGAGAATTGCTGGGTCATACAATAATTCTTTTTTTTTCAATTTTGAGGAAGTGCCACACTGTTTTCCCTAGTGACTATGCCATCAAGGCACAGGAATTTAGATTTTTTACATTCTTGCTAACACTGGGTATTTTCTTTCTTTCTCTCTTTCTTTCTTTCTTTTTTTTTTATAGTGGCCATTTTAATGGGTGTAAAGTGATATCTCATTGTGGTTTTAATGATATATGGTAAGGTGTAGTCCAACTTCTGTCTTTTTGCTGTTTCCTTGAATAGAGAATGAAGCCAAAATTTTCATGCTTTACAAAATAAGTTCTCAAGCCAGGTATGGTGGCACACACCTGTAATGCCAGCTACTAGGGAAGATGAGGAAGAAGAACACAAGTTCTAGGACCCTAAAGTAGAACCTTAAAATAAAAAATAAATAAATAATAAATAATAAGTAAACAAAAAGTTCTAGGACCTTAAAATAGAAAAATAAATAGTTCAGTGGTAAAGGGCCCCTGGGTTTAATCTCCAGTTGCCCCCACTAAATAATAATAATAATAATAATTGTTATTATTATTATTATTATTTGGGGGGGTACTGGTGATTAAACTCAGGGGCCTTTTACCATTGAGCTATATCCCCATCCCTTTTTATTTTTTATTTTTAGACAGATTCTCACTTAAGTTGCTTAGGGCCTCCTAAATTGCTGAGACTGGCCTTGAACTTGCAATCTTCCTACCTTTAGTCTCCTGAGTCGAAAATTTATCATTTCTTTACCTACTATATATTACATAGGTAGTTTTGTCTTACAGGTAAAAAAATGAATTTTTTATTTTTATTTTTTTGTTAGTAAGCAGTATTTCTAATTTGAGATTTCTAAACTGAACCTCAAGAAAACATTTCTTTGTTTCCTTAGAGCCAAGATTCTGGGTCTGATAATCGCATAAACACAGTCAGTCTCAAGGAAGCATTGGAAAGATTTGATCACAGTCCAACCCCTTCTGCCTCCTCCCGGAGTTCAAGAAAATCATCTCATACAGCAGTCTCAGACCCTTCCTGTGAGTACCTTAACTTAAACTTCCATTAAAGGGAGTACTACTAAACTGTTTGTGTTAAAGGTTATTTGTCAAATGCTTCTCTAAAATTATAATTTATTTTCATAATTTTGAGGTATATTAACCTTTCCAGTGAGTAAGAGGTGCAGTGCTCACTGTTAGCAAAGAATTAAGATCATCAAGTGGGCCTATAAAACATGTAGGTTATAATGTTGTTATTGTTAAATTTTTAATCATCCCTCAAAAATAAAACAAAACTATTCCTACTGTAAAAGCCAGCAAATGTTCTTTAAATTTGTTTTTTAAAAAAATTTTGCAGTGTTTTTCTTTATGAAGATATGCTTAATTGTCCTTATGTTACAGTTGGCCCTCCATATCAATAGTTCTGTGCTGTAGATTCAACTAAGTGCACATAGAAAATGGTTCAAAAAAAATTGTATCTGTATTGAATATGTACAGACTTCTTTTTATTTTCCTTATTCCTAAATAATAGAATATATCAAGTATTTACATAGTATTTGTATTGTATTAGGTATTATAAGTAATCTAGAGAAGATTTAAAGAACTTACAAGGATGTGCATAGGTTATGTGCAAATACTACACCATTTTGTGTCAGGAACTTTTGAGCTTCACAGATGTTGATATCCACAGGGAGTCCTGGAATCAGTCCCTTTTCAGGGAATGACTAGTAACTATTTTTAGATTGAAATTTTTTCAATTTCATGTTTGTTTTTTTTTTTTATCTTTAAAGAAGATAGAAGCAGAGGATAGGAAAGGCAGCAGAATACAACAGACACTAGTATGGCAACATGTAAATCAGTGGATGTGTAACTGATATGATTCTGCAATCTGTATACGGGGTAAAAATGGGAGTTCATAACCCACTTGAATCAGTGTGAAATATGATATGTCAAGAACTATGTAATGTTTTGAACAACCAACAATAAAAAATTAAAAAAGAAAAAAGAAGATAGAAGCAATTTCAATGAATGGACTTTACTTTTATTGATTTAGAAAACCAAGTAAAAACAGTTTTTATTCACTGAAGTACATTTTGAGATTGATCTTTGAAAACTGTATTTTTAAATATTAATGCTATTCTGCTTTTATTGACTAACTTCAGCAACACCAACAAAGATCCCAACAGATACTAGCACTCCTCCCAGACAACATTTACCAGCTCATGAAAAGATGGCTCAAAGGAGGTCATCATTTAGTAGCCAGGTAAGCTCTATAGTTAATATACTTTTGAATAAAGATTAATTAAAAGGGAAAGTTATCTAAATGTTCAGAAAAAGTAGTTGGTATATGACACTCAAGATTTTTCTTTAATTTTTGAAGTGGTTACCATACATATAAGTCATTTTTGTTATTTTTCAGGTAAAATGTTAGGGGGTTTTTTTTGTTTGTTTGTTTGTTTTCTGTTTTTTCCCAGTTGTGAACAGCTGATAATTGAGAACAATTTTATATCTACATTCAGATACCAATCACCTATTGTTAAATCCAGCCAACTTCTGAGACCTCATGCATGGTACTATGGCAGTGCCTTGGAAGATACAAAATAAATAGGGAAAAGGCTTTTCCAGTGTAGAGAGGGAGACATACCTGTACTCAATTTTCAAAAATATGAGGCATATTGTAAGTTCAGTGATCAGTATATCGTGTGTATATTTCTGGTGGAAGTACTCATATTTGATAATGAGTGTCACTTCAGTGATATTTTTTATTTTGCTTCTAGTCCATAAATTCCCAGTCTGTTGGTCCATCATTAACACAGCCAGTGATGTCGCAAGCTGCAAATTTACCAATTCCACAAGGCATGTCCCAGGTATTTTTTGTTTGTTTTAGTTGAGTATTTACAAATGATAAATTGGTTTTAGGTAAATATGATTAAGTTTATAAATAGTTTTACATATATTTAAAATAAATAAAATATAACTATTATGTGTGTGTATATATATATATACATATCTATGTAAGTACACATGCATATTTATTTATTTACACTTATAGGTGCAATGAATCTTAACTAGGGGCATTTAGAGTGTCTGAGGACATTTTTGTTTGATACAATGATTATGGAGTACCACAAGCCCTTAGTAGACATGGGCCAGAGGTGTCAGGTGTCTTTTGAGATGCATGGCAGTCTTGTACAACAAAGAAGTGTACTATTTAATATACCAAAACACCACTTCCTCTGTTGAAAAATACTAAAGACATGAAGTTATTAAAGGTGAAGTGTAACAGTTCATTTTGTTCTTCCTATGGATGTTGGAAGAATTGAGTAACTTTATTCATATTTTAGTTTTTGTGTTCAAATATAGGATATTTATTGATTTCCTGGGTGTAACAAGAATTGTAGGTGTTGACAATATTTATATTAGCTTTACTAAAAGGCTATTGCATCTAAAGCAAAAAAAGTTAATTATGATACTATTATATAGTCTCTGTACATCATATAGACCCTTAATGCAGCCTGAAGAAGTGAAGAAAAACTTTCTAGGAGAATTGTTGTCTGGCCCACAACCCAAAAAAGGTCTATAAATAAGCAAGACAAGGGTGATTCCAAAAGTGATGCTGTTACTTTTGATCGTAACATTTTAACTTGTGATTTATAATTTGTTCAGTGCCTCAGATATGTTAAGAATACTACTTAATAGTAATAAACATAAAATCTTAAGACTTGTTTGTCATTAAATAATTTTATAATTCTGATTTCTAATAATATGTTATCATATAAGGACTTTATAACATCACTGTTTTGTTAGGTATTACAATTTAGTCCTCCAATCCTATTTGCCAGAAGCTATTCTAGTACCTGGAGACTAAGTAGTACAATATTGAAGGACGAATAGATAGCAGAAGAAATCAAGGGTGAAATGAAAAAATACATAGAGGTAAATGAGAATAGTGATATAGTATATCAAAATCTCTGGGACATTATGAAGGCAGTTCTACGAGGAAAGTTCATAGCATTGAGCTCATTCATTAAAGAATAGAAAGATACTAAATAAATAACATAACATTACATCTAAGGTCTTAGAAAAAAGAACAAATCAACACCAAAATCAGTAGAAGACAGGAAATAATTAACATCAGAGCCGAAATCAATGAAAGTGAAATTTTAAAAATCAACAAAACAAAAAGTTGGTTCTTTGAAAAAAATAAACTTAGTCAAACTAACAAAAGAAAGAGGGGAAAACTCATTATTAAAATTTGTGATGAAAAAGGAAATATCACCACAAACACTACAAAAATATAAAGGATAACAGATACTGTTTTGAAAATTTATACTCCAGTTAATTAGAAAATCTTGAAGACATCGACAGATATTTAGAGACATATGACCTACCCATATCAAACCAGGAGTACATAGAAACTTTTAAACTTTAAGTAATGGAATTGAAAACACCATGAAAAACCTACCAGCAAAGAGAAGCCCAGGACTGGATGGATTCTCAGCCAAGTTCTGCCACACCTTGAAAGAAGAACCAACACCAGTGTTCTTCAAATTATTCCATGAAATAGAAAAGGAGGGAACCCTTCCAAACTCATTCTGTTCCTGATATCAAAACCAGACAATGTCACATCAAGGAAAGAAAACTTCAGACCTATATGCCTGATGAACATAGATGCAAAAATTCTTATAAAATACTGGTGAATCTCATTTAAAAAACACATTAAAAAGATAATAGTGCACCAGGATCGAGTAGTCATCCCAGGAATACAAGGTTGGTTCAACATACAGAAATTAATAAATGTAATTCACCACATAAAGAGACTTAAAGACAAGAACCACAGAAGAAGCATTTGACACAGCATCCATTCATGTTCATTACTCTAGAAAAATTAGGAATAGTAGGAACATTAACATTATAAAAGCTATATTTCTAAACCCAAGGCCAACATCATTCTAAATGGAGAAACACTGAAAGCATTCCCTCTAATAACTGGAACAAGACAGATATGCCCTCTTTCACTACTTTTATTTAGCATAGTCCTGAAAACTCTAGCCAGAACAATCAGGCAAAAGAATGAAATTAAAGGGATATGAATAGGAAAAGAAGAGCTTAAATTATCCCTGTTTGCTGGCAACATGATCCTATATTTAGTACCCAAAAAACTCCACCAGAAAAGTTCTAGAACTCAAAATGAATTCAGCAAAGTAGCAGTATACAGAATTAACACCCATAAATCGTTCCTATACACCAATGATAATCAGCTAAAAGAGAAAATAGGAAAACTACCCCTTTCACAAGCCTAAAAAAAAAAAAAAATACTAGGGAACCAGCCTAACAAAAGAGGTGAAAGACCTCTACAATGAAAACTACAGAACTAAAGAAATTAAAGAAGACCTTAGAAAGAGGGAAAGATCTCCTGTGTTCTTAGAATTAACATTGTCAAAATGGCCATACGACCAAAAGTGCCATACAGATTTAATGCAATGCCTATTAAAATTCCAGTGATATTCTTCATAGAACTAGAAAAAGCAGTCACGAAATTCATTTGGAAAAATAAGAAGCTCAGAATAGCTAAAGCAGTCATACCAGACCTTAAATTATACCATAGAGCTACAGTAACAAAAACAGCATAGTATTGGCACCAAAAGAGGTGTGAAGACCAATGGAATAGAACAGAAGACAGAGAAACAAACCCACATAAATATAGTTATCTCATACTAGACAAAACTACCACCAAAACACACACACACACACACACACACACACACACACTGGAGTAAAGAGAGTCTCTTCAACAAATGGTGCTAGGAAACTGGAAATCCATATATAATAGAAGGAAATTTAACCCCTCTAATCCTGTACTCAACTCAAAGTGGATCAAAGACCTCGATATTAGACCAGAAACCTTGCATCTTCTAGAAGAAAGTATAGGCCCAGCACTCCAACATTGTCAGCTTAGGAACTAACTTCCCCATTCAATATCTCTAACTACTGGGGAAATGCAAATTAAAACTACACTGAGGTTTCACCTCACTCCAGCCAGAATGGCAGTTATTAAGAATTCAAGTAACAATAAATGTGGGGGAAAGGGTAACTGATATATTGCTGCTGGGACTGCAAATTAGAGTAACCACTCTGTAAAGTGGTGTATGGAGATTCCTCAAAAAATTAGGAATGAAACCACCGTTTGACCCAGCTCTCCCAATCCTCGGTATATATCCAAAGAATTTGAAATCAGCATACTACAGTGATGCAGCTGCATGAATATTTATAGCACCTCAATTCACAATAGCTAAGCTATGGAACCAACCTAGGTGCCCTTCAGTAGATGAATGGATAAAGAAAATGTGGTATCTGTACAAAATGGAATATTTCCCAGCCATAAAGAAGAGTGACTTTACGACATTAGCCAACCAGTGGATGGAACTGGAGACTGTCAGCTAAATGAAATTAGCCAGTCCCCTCAAAACCAAAGGTTAAATGTTCTCTCTGATGTGTGGATGCTAGCCCACAAGAGGGGTGAGGCAGGTAGAATAGAAATTCAGTAGATTAGACAAAGAGGCATGAAGGGAAAGGAGGGAAGATAGGAATAGGAAAGACAGTGGAATGAATCTGATATAACTTTCCTGTCTACATATATGAATTTACCACAGTGAATCCTAACACTGTGTACATTCACAAGACTGAGATCCTAATTAAATAAGGTATATTCCATGTTTGTATGAATGTATCAGAATAGATTATACTGTCATGTATAACTAAAAAGAACAAATAAAAATTTAAAAAATACTATTTCTCTTCAAGTACTAACAGACTAGCATTCTACCTAATGAGCTATATCCACAGCCCAAGCATTTCATAACATAGGGATATTTTTATGCAATAAGTAATGTACTATGTCAAACATACTAGTAAGCATTCAAATTTCACATTTCACTCACTAATAAAGCTCCAATACTTTGTCTTTTTGTTCTATAATTTTATTTCCTGTTATCCTTTGTTTTATGTTTGTTTCTATTTTCTTTTATGTACTTAATAGAAGTCCATTAAATGGTGACAACATAATGTTCACCTACAGGTTCAAATAACATTAGTTAAAATATGTTCGATAACATAAGTACAACATATTTTGACTAATATAAAAAAGACATGAAGCAGTTGTGGTACTAAATTTGTAATATTTTCTCAAACCTAGTAGAATCTAATGTATATATAATATGGTCTGTTTTTTGTCATCTTCAGAAGTCAAGTTTGTATACTATGGAAAGTAGTCTTCGGTATCCTTAATACAAACTTTTGAAGATAGGATAAAAAAGCATGGGGTAAACCATACAGTTCACTGTAGGAGAATATTTTAAAATAGATTTTCAGTAACTTGAAGTTTTTTTCTGCCCTTATACTATATAATGTACTGAATATTCATGGAAATAATCAAATGAGACTATGTTGACTTAAGAGGTGAATTATCAAATGTGGCTAAATTACAAGCAGTAGAAAACAGGCACTGTTTATTACTTAAGTGTAAATCATAGAGAAATAAGATTGAAAGCCCTGGAAGTAGAGTAACTTTGTTTTCCTACATAATACATGCATTTATTCATAATTGCTTAAAAGTCTGCTTTAAATTTGTCTGATGACAGTATCAGTTGAAAACATGAGTGAAAATAGTAATGTTAGTTATCTATCAGATTTTTGTCACTCTAGGTATCTCTACTGATAATGCAAGTAAAAGGACATTGTAGGAATGACAGAATTTGATATGAATGAATTCTAGGTATAGGCTCCATTTCCACATGGTGAAGAATAGACACAACATAAAAAGTAATTTGTTCTAGTAAGTAGCTGAGCCACCATTTGAACTCCGGTCTTCTAACTCCAGGTATACTTGTAAACATTCAAGATCCACTCAGAAGTCAAAAGCAAACCAGAAATTCGAACAGGGATAATATTTTTTAAAAGTATTAACTAGTAACTAAGAAAATCTGAAGAATACAGGAATAGGAGATGTAGACATCAGCCACTAACTAGATGTCAGGGAAAGCACCCAAGGAAGACAGACTTGAAGGATTCCCACTAACTGACCAAACATCTCTTCCCCTATGCCAGGCTGAGAGTCATATCTCATTTTGGGGAGGCATGGCTATAGCCACTGGGTGATGGAAAAGTTCAAATAGCTGCACAAAGGAGGTCTGGAGAGCAGGAAGTCACCTGCTGTGGGAAACTTACAGCCCACTAAGGTATCATTGAGACTTGCTGAGGTGCTGTTGAGACCCCAGCCCCACAAAAAGAAAACAAAATCAAGGTGAATAGTTGTCAGGCTATCCACGCAGAAACACTCTACAGCTCTTGAACTCTTCCTTCACAAGTCCGTGTCCACTTAATTATAAATGGGGGGTCACTATAAAAGGCCCCTGCTTGTGGGCCTTTAGGACCTCCATCAGAAGCCCTCCTGGAGGCAGAGGACCGTGATTTTACCCTACAGGTGCCAGCCTTCCACTGGCACCACTGATACATGAACACGAAGGAAAAGCACCAGAAGCAGGAAAATAAGCACCTTTGTTTGCATTGCCCTCTAGGACCATCTGCTGACATGGCTAATTTGTACATGCCAGCAAAGGAGAAAGTCCTAGGTCCCATGTCACAAAGCAAAGATGGCAGATTAGAAGTTGAGAGGCAATACATGATAACTGACATAACATTCCTAATTCATGGTATACTGCTTATTTTTCACATTGCACAATTAAAAGAAGCAAGTATTTCTAAAATATTTTATACTTTTTTCCACACGTGGTACTTCAGTTTCAGTTTTCAGCGCAGCTAGGAGCCATGCAGCATCTGAAAGACCAGTTGGAGCAACGGACACGGATGATAGAGGCAAATATTCATAGGCAACAAGAAGAACTAAGGAAAATTCAAGAACAACTTCAAATGGTCCATGGTCAAGGGCTGCAGGCAAGTTAATGTTTTTTGGTTTTTTTTGAGTGCAAAGAAAGTGTGCCATTCACATTTTGTTTTGCTAGGAAACTGGCTTTTCTTAATGAAAAGAAGATGCATTTCCCAGATTCCATTCCGTAAATACCCATTAATTACATGATCAATATGATTATATTTACTTTCTCCAAAGATATTCATTCCTAAGGATATTTCCACCAGCATTCTTGTTTTTCCAGATTACTGAAATCCAAATTTTAGTATTTACATCCTTAATACAAAAGTTACATTTTTTTAAAAAAGCTTTAAGGTGCAGAATTTGTAAGTAATAGTAAATACCAATAGGTATGTTTCATATTTGTCTTACTCGTCCAAGCAACAGGACTATTCTAGGTGACTAGAACTTTGGTAAAGGAAAACTTTAAATGAATTATTTCTGCCTAATTTCATAAATTTTAAATGATGGATGATACAAAGCCACCAGTCCACAGACCTTTGAGTGGCACTGAGTTACACTACAATTGGAAACACGATAGGTTAGGATGACTGGAATTATGAATGTGAAATTTCACATTTTATTCAGTAATTATTTTTGATCAATCAAAATGATTTATGATGTTGTTATTTATTGTCTTTTAAACTTGGTTTGAAACTTTGTTTGCTATCATTTGTCTTTAATTCCCAGCACCATCACTGCCCCCCCCACACCAAAAAAAGAAAAAAAAGCTCATTTAAATGTAATCTTTTATTTTCACAGATGTTTTTGCAGCAGTCAAACCCTGGGTTGAACTTTGGTTCTGTTCAGCTTACTTCTGGAAATTCATCTAACATCCAGCAACTCACACCTGTGAATATGCAAGGCCAGGTTGTTTCTACTAACCAAATTCAAAGTGGAATGAATACTGGACATATTGGTACAAGTCCGCACATGATACAACAACAGACTTTACAGAGTACATCTACTCAGGTAATGTCAAGTACAACGGGAAATGGAATGTTGAGTAATTGAAGTATGAACTAATGTTAAAACGAAAATAAAGTCCTATCTTACGCCGTCTTTTAAAATGTAATAGTAATTAGAACACAAAATACTGAGATGATCACTAAAATATTTTGTACAAAATTATGTTCATGTTAAATATTTTCTCTATTTTGACATTTTAAAAATTTTATGATCTGTTTAAGTATCTAGCCTAATTATACAATTTTCTTATAACTTACAGGCTACTACCATATGTTAAAATTTTGCGAAGGAGATTGATCAGGAAACATGTTCTCATATCTCACGTGTACATAATAGACTGTTGAGATCAGTGGTGGTTTAACTAACATTCCATAAAATTCTGGTATCTAGTGTATATTTGTGACTATAGATGAAAAATATAAAATGAAAAATGAATAAATATACCTAACCATCAGTCACTCATTCATGTATGTTTTCTGTCATCACTGTTAGGATCACACTCCTTTTAAAGTTATAGCTTACCTTCTAACAGGGAAGTCAAGACTAATTCATTGTTACTACCAGTCATTCCTTTGTAATTAGATCTCTTTCAGAGTAATATGTCCTGCCACACACTGTTAGGTTAGTTGTTAAAACAGTGACTAGTAGAAGCATACTTCCCAAATAACTTTGCTCAGTTAATCTTTCTGTAAAACCTTCTCTTTTCTAGCAGAATCAACAAAGTGTACTGAGTGGGCACAGTCAGCAAACGTCTCTTCCCAGTCAGACGCAGAGCACTCTTTCAGCCCCACTGTATAATACTATGGTGATTTCTCAGCCTGCAGCTGGAAGCATGGTCCAGATTCCATCCAGTATGCCACAGAACAGTACCCAGAGTGCTGCAGTAACTACATTCACTCAGGACAGACAGATAAGGTAGTTGTCATACCTCATTTGTTATTTTCAGAGTTGTAAATTGATTAATTTAAAGCAGTGATTTGGGACTAAGGACATAGCTCAGTGGTAGAGTGCTTGCCTAATATGCACAAGGCCCTGGGTTCAATCCTAGCACTATAAAACACAAAACAAAAATATCTGATAAGTTGATTTTTTTAAAACATGATTTTAGTTTGTTGCTCATTGAAGCCATGGTTCTTAAATTTGAAATTAAAAAGATACATCCATTGTTTAAAGATTTTATAATAAAAGAGTACCAAATTTTGTTTGTTCTCTAAACATGAGTTACTAACCCAGGCATTATGCTGCTCACCTATAATCCCAGCGGCTCCAGAGGCTGAGGCAGGAGGATTGCAAGTTCAAAGCCAGCTTTAGCAACTTAGCAAGGCCTTAAGTAACTCAGTGAGACCCTGTACAAAAAAGTTCTGGGGATGTGGCTCAGTGGTTAAGTGCCCCTGGGTTCAATCCCCAATACCCCCCCCCCCCAAAAAAAAGAGTTACCACATATTACAGAATCCAAATTCTGCAGCTCATTGTTGTACAAGGGCTATGTGATACTAATCTTTAAGATATAGATGTTAGAGAGTTTTCATGTAGTAACAGTGGTTAGGGTAGCTTCTCGAAGTCTTTAAGTGCTCAAAATATATTATTTCTTTTTTTTTTTAATGTATGTTCAGATCTTCTTTCCCAAGAAAAAGTGAATTTTTAATAATTTAGTCAAGGGCCTGTCACTGGTTAAGTCAGTGAGGAGGCTTTGGACCTGGGTGTCTGGTTTCAAAGTTCCATTGCATAAACATATATACTACAGGAAGTTTTTGTGTGCTGTTCTAGACAAACAATAGTCTATGACTTATTTTAGTGAGAAGTTCAAATAGCTGGCTTAGCATTTCTTTGAAAAATCTGTTTCTGTTTTTATACTGGGAAGCTATCTTTTTAAATAAAAACTATAGGATCTTTGCAATTTTAAATGCTTTTATTTTTTTATTTCAAATGTTCTTCTTTTATATACAGTTTTCTGTATTATTAAGCACAATTTTATTAAAATCATGTTAATAGTTTTCATAGGAAAGAAGCTGCAAGATTACTACTAGACAATGAAAAACAGAGAACTTATTACTTCTCTTTGAAGCTTATTTCCCTCAACTTAAAAAAAAGTTTCAACTTTTAGCTCTCACATCCTGAAGAGGAAGTCTTATAAATGTGCTCCAATGAAATTCAGAGAACTTATTTTTGTTTAGGTTGCTGGGGATTCAGCCCAGAGCCTTGCACATGCTAAGCATGTACTTTACTATGAGGTACACCTATAGTCAGAGGACTAATTTTAAAGCCTGAGTGGAAAGACATTAAATTTGAATGCTGACATACATTTTAGAGGATGCAGTTTAGCAACTCTTTGTACATACATATCTGTTTCTTGAGGAGAGGAAAACATTTCAGCAGACATATGAAGCCTACCATATTTGTATATGGCATAGTCCTGTCCCTTGAGGAAAGACCAGAGTAGTAAAAGTAATAGAAAGGAAGATACCATCTCACTCCAATAAGAATGGCAGCCATTATGAAGTCAAACAACAATAAGTGCTGGCAAGGATGCAGGGAAAAAAGTACACTCATACATTGCTGGTGGGACTGCAAATTGGTGCAGCCAATTTGGAAAGCAGTATGGAGATTCCTTGGAAAGCTGGGAATGGAACCACCATTTGACCCAGCTATTCCCCTTCTCGGACTATACCCAAAAGACCTAAAAAGAGCATACTACAGGGACACAGCCACATCAGTGTTTATAGCAGCACAATTCACAATAGCTAGAATGTGGAACCAACCTAGATGCCCTTCAATAGATGAATGGATTTAAAAAATGTGGCATTTATACACAATGGAATATTACTCAGCACTAAAAAATAACAAGATCATGGCATTTGCAGGCAAATGGATGGCATTAGAGCAGATTATGCTAAGTGAAGTTAACCAATCCCTAAAAAACAAATGCCGAATGTCTTCTCTGATATAAGGGGGATGACTCAAAATGGGATAGGGAGGAAGAGCATGAGAAGAAGACTACCACTAAATAGGGAAGAGAGATGGGAGGGAAAAAGAGGGAGAAGGGGAGTTGCATGGAAGATGGAAGGAGAACCTCATTGTTATACAGAATACATATATGATGTTGTAATGAGAAAAAGAAAAAAAAAGTGTGTCACATTAGATTGGATAGAGAGAAAGGATGGGAGAGGAGGGGGAGTAGTAGGGGGGATAGGAAGGGCAGCAGAATAGAATAGACAATATGATTGATGTATGTACATTCCGTATATGTATTACATGTCAAAATACATTCTGCTGTCATGTATGACTAAAAAAAATTTTAAAAAAGTAATAGAAAGGGAAACAAGTCATATTATTTGGTGTAATGAATACTTAGTAGGCTTTTGGAAGGGAAGAAGTGAGCAGTTTTATGAATTGAGGCAGGCAGGTGAAGGGAGGAGTCGTCAGGGAAAGCTTCACCACAGGAGATAATTGGCCTGCCTTAAAGAGCTTGGCCTTGAGTTTGCCTGTGGCAAGGAATTCAAGGAGGAATTCTAGGCAGAGGAAACAGTATATACAAAGCCACAGAGTGGGGTTGAGCATAAGTAGATTAAAGAATGTCTTGGGATGAGATAGATAAATTATTATCTTTAAAAGTGACTCGTTGCAATTCAGGTATTAATTTTGTTTAAGATTACAGAGAAATTGGCACTTAGCTCTTCTGTGATTAAACATACTTTGTTCATGTTGTTTCTTTGAGCTCTCTTACACAGAATTTTTTAAAATTCTGTTTTGTTTTTTTGTTTGTTGCATTCAAGTGTTTGGCCCTGATGTATATAAAATACAGTATTTTATTTACAAGATCTGGCATGGACACAAACTAAATTTATTTTAGGGGATAGGGTTTTAGCTCAGAGGTATAATGTTTGCCTAGCATGCACAACACCCTAGGTTTGATTTCTGGCACCATAAAACAAATAAGTAAATAAATAAAAGTAAATTTATTTTGTCTGTGAATATATAAATAAAGTACATGTGTACTAAGCTTAATATTTGTACCTACTTTAAATAGTTTATAATGTGGTTATGTCATGCTGTATCTACAGTATGATTTTATCTGTTTCCTTGCTGTAGTTGTCAATGTTAGAAACAAACTTCTTCTCAGAAAGAAATGGAAAAAGTTTTGCTCCCCAAAGAGGCATTATTTTTTGTCTTTGTTAAGAAAATAGAAGAAGGAGCTGGGCATAGTGTCACACACCTATAATCCCAGCATCCCAGAAGGTTGAGGCAAGAGAATCACAGGTTTGAGAATGGCCTGGGCCACTTAGCAAGAACCCATCTCAAAAAACAAAACAAGGAACTGGGTGTTGTAGTGCATGTCTATAAACCCAGTGACTTGGAAGGCTGAGGCAGGAGAATTGCAAGTTCAAGGACAGCTTCAGCAAGTTAGTGAGGCTCTAATAAGCAACTTGATAAGGCCGTGTCTCAAATAAAAATTAAAAAGGGCTGGGGACACTGAGTGCAGTGGCCCATGCCTATAATCCCAGCAGCTCAGGAGGCTGAGGCAGGAAGATTGTGAGATCAAAGCTGCCCTCAACAACAGTGAGGTGCTAAGCAACTCAGTGAGACCCTATCTCTAAATTTTAAAAAAGGGGCCGGGCTAGGAATGTGGCTCAATGGTTAAGTGCCTCTGGATTACAACTCGAGTGTAGTCCCCCCCCCCCCCCAAAAAAAAAAAAAAGGTCTGGAGATACAGCTTAGTGGTAAAGTGTACCTGGGTTCAGTCTTTATTACCAAAACAAAAAAAATCTAACACAGTGGGCACCATAATATGATAAATTTATAAACTACAAGTACTTTATTCATTTGTTTTGATTTGTGTTGTTTTAAATATTTATTTTTTAGTTGTAGTTATTTTATTTATATGTGGTGCTGAGAATCGAACCCAGGGCCCCGCATGTGCCAGGCAAGTGCTCTATCGCTGAGCCACAACCCCAGCCCTTGATTTATGTTTTTTAAGTTACCACCTTTAAATGTACATTTCTTACATAAATATAAAGTTTTTAAAAATTACCATATGGTAGCTTTAAGTTTGTTCCTGAACTATGTGCCACTTTATCTGACTCCTAATTACCTAGCCACTTTATGAAAAGAAAAAGTTCATTTTTTTTTCAGTTTAAAAATTTTTTAACTGTGGTAAAATATACATAAAAAAATTTACCATAGTAACCATTTTAAAGTATGTGGTTGAATGGCCATTGAGTATATTCACACAGTTGTTGTCACTCTACCCTCAACCATCTGTCCCCAGAACTGTTTTCATTTTTCCAAACTGAGTCTTCATTCTTCATAACCATTAAACAACTTCCTAGCTTGCCCAACCCTGCCTCTTATCTATGGCAACCACCATTCTACTTTCTATCTGTATGAATTTGACTACTTTGAGTATTTCATGTAAGTCAAAATACAGCATTTATCCTTTTGTTATTGGCTTATTTCACTTAGCCTAATGTTCTCAGGGTTCATCCATGTTGTAGCATGTGTCAGAATATTCTTCCTTTCTAAGGTGAAATAATATCCCATTGTATTATATACTGTATTTTGTTTATTGATTTCACCTGCCAGTGGACACTTGAGTGGCTTCCACCTTTTGTTAAGTATGACTATGCTGCTATGAACATGGGTATAAGAGTATCTGAGTCCCTCCTTTTATTTCTTTTGGATGCCCAGGAGTAGAATTGCTTCATATGGTAATTCTATTTAATTTTTGTAGGAATTGCCATATGGTCTTTCATTTTACAATACTACCAGCAGTACACAGAGGTTCCAGTTTCTCTACATCTTTGCCTACAGTGGTTATTTTTGTTGGATTTTTCTGTAATAGCTATCCTGATGGGTGTAAGGTGGCTGCTGCTTCTTGTTTTGATTTGCATTTCCTTAATGATGTTGAACAACTTTTCATGTGTTTATTGGCCATTTATATATCTTTTTTGGAGAAATACCTATTCAAGTTATACCTGTGTCCGTTTTTTAAATGGGTTGATTGTTGTTTATAGTTGTTATCGTTCTTCATATGTTCTGGTTATTATAATAACCAGATAAATCAGATACACGATTTGCAAGCATTTCTTCCCATTATTGAGTTGCCTCATGCTGTCAGTTTTGCCCTTGGATGCATACAATTTTTAATTTTGTGTAGTCCAGTTTATCTGTGTGTGTGAGAGAGAGAGAGAGACACAGACAGAGATAGAGAGATACTGAAGGTTGAACTGAGACCTTGTACTTGCTAGGCAATCACTCTACTACTGAACTACATCTCTAGCCCTTTTTATTTTGAGTCAGGGTCTCACTAAATTGCCCAGGCTGGCCTTGAATTTGAGATCATCATGCCTGGGCAGTCTATTTATCGTTTTTGTCACCTGTGCTTTTGGTGTTATCCAAGGAATCATTGCCAATTACAATGTCGCAAAACTTTTCCCATTTGCTTCTAAGAGTTTTATAGTTTTAGCTTTTATGTTTGGGTGTTTGCTTCCTTTTGAATTGATTTTTGCATATGACGTAAATCAAAAGAACTAATTAATCAAGAACTAATTAACTTCATTCTTTTGAATATGGATATTTTAGAAAGTTATTTTTTATTATATCTGTTTTTGTTGTCATATGTTGATTTTGCCACATACATTTATGTCTTGCTGAAATCCCAAAGAGAATTTTTAAAAACAAAAGCAAAATAGAAGCATATAGCTTTTATAAAAATAAATTGGCAGTATTATTATCTTAGATAAGGGTTCATCTCATTGCCTTTTTGTGATGTATACTTTGTACTTTTGACTTTACTTCTTTCTTTCCTCTACAGATTTTCTCAAGGTCAGCAACTTGTGACCAAATTAGTGACTGCTCCTGTAGCTTGTGGGGCAGTCATGGTACCTAGTACTATGCTCATGGGTCAGGTGGTGACTGCCTATCCTACTTTTGCTGCACAACAGCAGCAGGCACAGACACTGTCAGTAACGCAGCAGCAGCAGCAGCAGCAACAGCAACAGCAACAGCAGCAGCAGACTTCCCAGGAACAGCAGCTTCCTCCAGTTCAGCAACCATCTCAGGCTCAACTGACTCAAACACCACAGCAGTTTTTACAGGTAACTCTTCCTACAAGAAGCCACCTTAAACCTATTTATAATAGAATTAGGTGCTAAATTAAAGGTTTGTAAATTATCTCAAAAACTCATAAAAGTTTATGTACAATTTAAATCTCTACGAAGATAGAAAGCTTGTCCTGGGTAGCCATTGTTTTCCTTCTCTTCATTGAAAGACTTTTAGCCCTGCTATTGGTATACCAAGTGATGTGAGCTGCAGGGTAGAATAAGTAATTTTGGGCCTATATGAGGGTACTTTTGTAAAGCCTATTTTCCTCTCTGGAACTACAGTTTCTGGAAGTCAAGCAGAGACTCCTTTCTCTGTCTATTTCCTTTCTCAATACCCAACAAATTCTGTCCTGCATAAGCAGGGGTATAAAAGGGATTTCTGTATCAGCCTACATATTATCTTAAATTATTTTGTTGGAATAAAGTTTATTGGAATTTTTCTGTTATAAATAATGTCAGAGGAGAAATAGTGGTGGTACACAGTATGTGTTATAGTTACAACTTGGATTCTAAAATCAGACTGTCCTGAGATTGCGTCACTGCTATACCACATATTGTGTGACCTTTGGCAAGTTAAACTGACCAAGCCTCACTTATTGCCTGGATGTGATAATAGTTCACAGATATTTAAAAAGTATAAATAGCTGATTGTAGTATAATGCACCTAACTAGCTGTCATGTATAACCACTATGTTGACAAATGTAATAAGTACTCAGATTAACCAAAAAACAGATATGTGGGTAAATTATATAGGATCTCCTTATCCAAAGGTTACAGCATAAGTTACCTATGGCAGGGTTGTCAGCAAAGAAATAAACAGAAACAGTCTCTGGATCTCAGTACCCTCACTTGGAAGTCCAGCTCTTTCCCTTCCCTTTTACCTTGAGCACGTTTGTATGTAGATTAGCCTTGATTTGTACTGGAGACCACCTCATCTGGAACAGGCACTTGTCATCAGTTTCACAGTTATACAACTAGAATATTCAAAAGTATACTATATATTAAAAAGTAAATACAGCTTTAATTTATCACTGTTTGTATCCTAGTCCAGATATAAAGCTTGTTTTGATGATGTGGAAGACAAAAACAGATTAGTTGCCAAAATACATCTGGTAGTCATACAGTCTCTTAGACCTTAAGTCTGTACTGTAGCCATTAATAAATGGCTTTGCTATTAATATAAAGTAATAAGAATTTAAAACAAGTCCTAAACTATTATCTAAGGGAAATATATCCAATGATAATTAAGCAGAAACTTATATAAAAAAAGAGGATTTGCCTTAAGATCTCAGTCTATCAAGGAAGAAAGACCTCTAAAAGAATTAACTTTCTCTTTCTTGATTCTCCCAAAAAAGGCACCTAAAGATATCCATAAAAAAGATGAGTGATGCCCTTCATAAATATACTTGTGTATAATAAATGTACAGTTTGCTTTTTAAAATTGTTTATCTGTCCCAAAATGTACTTAAGTTGTAATCCTGTAAGACTCCTACATATCCTGAATTCATCTCACACAGAGTTTTGCTAATAACAGAGAGAAAGAAAACTCTAAAGGTCCTTACCAAAAGCTTAATGGTCTTTCAGGTTTAAGAGAGAGAGAGAGAGAGAGAGAGAGAGAGAGAGAGAGAGAGACACTGACTCCTTCATACACACTCACAAACATCACCCACAACAACTCCATTTTAAAATTAAGAATCTTGCAGCAAATGTATTGTCTTTCGGAAGGACTTTAAAATCTTAACTTTCTTTTAGCTAGTTTCATATATATCCTGGAGATACATTTATAAATAATATGCCAGAAGTAAAAACTTGGTAAAAGAAATTGAGGTGCATAGAATTGAGACTTGCATCAGGTCAGGTAACTTGTAAATGGCAGAGCAAAACCCAAATGCGGGGCTTCTGACTACAGATCCTGGGCCTTTTTTGGTTTGAGCTGTTTTTGTTGTAACATCCTAAGAATGTGTGGTTTCTCTCAAGACATTAGTTGCTTTCTATACCATGAAATCTCCAGTTCAGATTCCTTCGAAAAGTGAAATTTTTGTTATATTTTCAGAAAGGAAAAGCTTCTTAAGCATGCAAAAATATGATTTTAATCTTAGAGAGCAAAAATGTCCCTTGGATAGTGCACAACTTTAGCAAATCTTATGTGCACAGTATAATGGAGAGGGTAAAATAATGTTGGGTAATACATTGATTTTTCCTTTTTAGACTTCTAGGTTGCTCCATGGGAATCCTTCAACTCAGCTCATCCTCTCTGCTGCGTTTCCACTACAACAGAGCACCTTCTCTCAGTCACATCACCAGCAACACCAGTCTCAGCAACAGCAGCAACTTAGTCGGCACAGGACTGACAGTTTGACTGATCCTTCTAAGGTTCAATCACAGTAGCACAAGTACTTCCTCCAGCACCAAAGGAGGAAGGTGGTGGTCCATAAACGTTGCTCAGATGACCTGAGGTTAGGAGGAAAAGTTCCAGCAGTTTCATGAGATACAGTATTGAGTGTTCTAGTTCCTGGAATTAGTTGGTAGGGAAAATGTGCCTAGTGCTATAGATGTACGTTAAAACCAGCCAGCAGAAGATGATCATAGGGACATAGCCAATTCTGACAGTGTTTCAGTTGCCCAGATATTTTTTGATGGAAAAAGAGTATATTGCCAAATGTTAAGAAGCTCAGCTATAAAATGACCTCCAGTGAATCAGAAAGGCACTAACAATGTTAGTCACTTCTAGTGGTCTGTGCCTGCTATCAAGTGTTACAGAGGACACACCACTGCCATGTCAGGGGTTTGCTTACAATGATGCCATGAAGATAATCTAGTAGTCAATAGCCCCCACCTTAAGCCCCTCTCCCTTTTCAGATAATGATGGAACAGTAATTTCAGAATGTTGTGTGGGTTTAAATTTTTTGTGTACAGATACTGTAAAAATATGTATATGTCTGGATGAAGGAGAGAAAGCAAAACATTGTGTAAGCTGCATGAAAGCATTCTCTCTTCCATATGAGTACATTTCATTAGATTCCGACACCATGTACAAACTGATACATCAGTCTCTGTTTTTCCTTTTGTTTACAGCATAATAGTGTGTTCTATTCACTTTTCCAGGGCACAAGTCTTTTTGTTCATACTTTGGCTGTGATGTCACAGTTTGTTCAGTGAGGTATGATGTGCTGCTGGGAATGGATTTTTTTTCAGGTTAAATTATTGATACAACAAGACTTTCAAGTTATTCAGAAATATCCCTCATTTCATTATTTTTGTTTGAAAATAGGATTTGCACTGCTTTATTTTAGATGGTTGGGAGTTTGATCACATATTTTGATATATTTCATTGTTGCAAATATTTATGTAAATGGTTTTCAACAAGCCTGAAAGTAATTTCAAGAATGTTTCAGTTATAGGAATAAAATTTGCACACAAACATTATAGGCACTTTTTAACATTCCCAATGGTGGGAATTTTAACTTTTAGGATTTGTTGGAATCTTTTTATTATCCTTCACAATTTCAATGCTTCTTTTAGTCAGCAATGATTCAGGGTTATTTGAGGGGGGGAACCCATAGTGCCTTGATTTTAATTCAGGTGATAACTCACCATCTTGAACTTATTGTCTGGTTTCAGTAGCAGTTTTTGAAACCTTAGTACATTTTTAACAGCATGTGGGTGTCAGTGTCATTATTCTCCTAAGTTCCTATGAAGACTGCTGTGAGTCTCTTGGACTGGGGTACAAATAATTTAGAAATAAAAAAGATGACAACCTAACACTACACACTTTAAAGGTTCCCAAATTTGTTTCCTAAATTAAACAGTCGCTGGGCGTGGTGGTGCATGCCTGTAATCCCAGCGGCTAGGGAGGCTGAGACAGGAGGATTGCGAGTTCAAAGCCGGCCTCAGCAATGGCAAGGCACTAAGTAATTGAGTGAGACCCTGTCTCTAATTAAAATATGTAATAAGGCTGGAGATGTGGCTCAGTGGTTGAGCACCCCTGAGTTAAAACCCAGGTACCCCTCCTCCAAAAGAAAAGACCCCCCAAAAAAACCCAACAAAACAAAAAACCCTAAACAGTCATTTAAGAATTACCAGTAAATATTGGCTCATTATAATATTGATATTTTTACCCAAAAAGGGCAAGTATTGGCTTTGTATTTCACTACATTGGGATATTGTAACTCACATGCTTTGTAAACATGAACTAAGATTTCATCTGGCAATATCATGTTCTAAAGGTAATAAATTTCAACACAAGTTACATATATTAAAAATAGTAATTTTTTAGATTTTATGGTACTAATACTGAAATTTACAACTATAGAACAAAAGATTAGTGGAAATTTCTTATTATAATATAAAAAATTATTACTAAAAAAGGGGAGGACAAATGTAATAAATCAAAATTGACCTTAAAAGAAAATGTAACAGAATTGAAGTTGTTAAACAGAAATGGTTTTGTGCAATGAAAATCACCTACTGCAGAAGTACTAGATAAAAGGCTCAGGGGAATGCCAAGTCAGTTCTCTGTCCTTACCTTTGCTATCATCCTTGAGGGACAAATTGTTTTTCTGTAACAAAAACAAAACCATAACTGTCTATAATTAAATTAGAAAATTAATACTGTAAAAGAAAACAACCAAAGAAAATGGTACTTACCCTTCTGCAAAAGAAGTGTGACTAGATACCAGTTAGTAATTAACATATCATGGAGTTCTAGCTAAATGATCATCCAGAAGAGATTCCTGACATTCCCATGAATGTCAAGATTGGTTGTCAGATTGTGTGTACCTGAGCATATGTGCACATGGCAAAATCAGTGTTGTAAAATATGGCAATAGCATTGCTTTTCTCCCCTTCCAAATTGCCTTTCTTGACCTTATGCCATTCCATATAAATCTTGAGTTGTGCCTCATTTATTTATTGGCAATACCTAGTGATAAGGACTTAGCTAACAAAAGATATGAACTATTGAGTTAAGGCTTGCCCTCTAAGTACCATACTTAAAAGAAAGATTATGAACTGTGAATACTATGTACTCAACAGAAGCAAAACAGGCCACAAAGTAAATCTGCAGATTATTTGTTTAACTCACATTCTTCAACTCTTAACTCCTTTAAATATTTTCCATCTTAACTGAATATTTGGGGAAGGAGAAAATTTATGTCACAATTCCTGTTGTTCTTCATGATTCATCTTTTTCCTGCTTGAAATTTACAGTTGCTAAATTTAAAGAAGCAGCCATGCTTTTTTTCCTTTGCTGTCAGTATGGAGTATTATGTTGGAAAAACTGTTCAGCACAAGCTGCCCCTTCTTTACTTTGGTTTCCTTGTGCTTCTCCTAAATTTGAGTTGCAAGGCTAGTCCCTGTCCCCTTCCTTCCCTGTGAGACTTAAGCATTGAGAGGGAGATTCAGCAGTTGTCTGTTCTGTATTCCATTTTCATAGCCAAAGTTGTTAATTCAAATCCCAAACCTAAATCATGAAAAGATACCAAATGGAACCCTTTTCAGCTTCCCTCTGCTTTACTCTCACAGGGATTCAGTTTCTCTTAAAAACATTTTATTCTGGGTGGCACTTTTTAGATAAGAAACTGTGGAGGTAAAGGAAAGATGCCAGCCCCCCTGCAGTTATCTTTCTGTGGACTGCTGGGGCACAGTGTGAGCCAGTATTGCCTCGCAAATACAAATGAGAACTGCAGGGATTAATAAAGTTGCTGCTGAGAGTGATGTCACACCAGAACCTAGACACTTGAAAAGTACTTGTTTTTGTTTTGAGTAAAATATGGGCAGAAAAGTAAATGTGGTGAATGGGGTGGAAGGGGCGGTGTAGTGTGAAAGTAAATACTACAGTTCAGTTTTCCGAACTATATCCTAAATTCAGGGGGTAATTTTAGAGTGATGTGCTCTGCTTTGTCACTTAGATGTGGCTTAGGAATGTACTAGTAATAAAAGGATGCCAGTGATCTTGACTAGTTTGTTAGAGAATATTTAGTGCAGAATAGTGAGTGTGTTTGAATTCTTCAGATGTGCTGTAGTTGTTGGTTGTTGCCTTAAAGCAGTCTCTTGAAGTTAGGAGCACTGAAGCAGTCCAGCTCTGTAAAGGGCATTGTGTTGAAGGGAGATATGAACCCTTGTTCGAAGCCTTAGAAAAGGACCCTGAAAATAGCCTAAAAAGGTAGAAATTCTTTTCAACTGGACATTATTCTTTATGTTTGAAAATGTTTCCACTACACTGAGGCAAACTTTTAAGTGGACTACAGATAGAAAATTTAACTTTAGTTTTTCTACTTTTTTCTATTTCTTTGGTGATTGAAGATTTGTTTGAACATTTGTGTAAAGCTCATTCAAGTCTACAACCTTTCCTATATCTGTGGCCCTGTTCTTAGTCCCACGGGAGTCCACATTGGAAAGTATAAACACTGGATATTAATATTGCTGAGTGCATCTAGCCAGGAGAAAGCTGATTGGAACTTTTCAGTGGTGGAGAAAACACAGCACAAAGGCACTTGCCATTTTAATAGTGATTTGGAGAGAGAGATCTTTTTAAGTTTGTCTGAATTGGGTGAGCATTCTTCTAAAAGGAGCTTCTGAAGTCATTGCAAAGGAAAAGAGTCGACTATTTTTATAGCATATTTAATATATTTGTATATAACTATGAGTATAGTAGAAACCCTCCACATGCTTCCCACTTTTCTAATTTCCTCCCCTTTTTGCCATAGCCCTAGTATAGCCTCGTCCGCATGGGTAATGTGCCTATTGTCAGCCTACCAAAAGATAGTGCTGCTGCTTTTTGAGACAGGTGAGAAGACCAGACTCTCATGCCTGGGGATCCTTTATGGGAGGAATAGCACACACTTAACATACTGCAGTCTAAAAGCATCATTTTGAAATGTAACAAGCACTTTATTGCAATTATTCATTTTGATAAAGTTTATCTTAGGCATTAACCATTTCTAAAGGATCCCCAAATCATCACTTAGGTGAAATAATAAAATGACACATTTCTGAGAAATGTTTAGATCCAGTGAACCGTAGTAGGTTTATGGGAGTGATCTCAAGATAGCCAAATGAACTCTTGACTTTTGTTTTGAATGTGGTGGAATTAAGAGACTGTAGATGCCTAGTTCCATTTAAACACTATTGTAAACCTATCTTGCCTATTGTGTGGACACCAAAAGAGACCAATGAGCCTGTTTATTTTCAGAGGTCTAGGAAAATTGCATCCATGTGAGTAGATGTACTGAACTAATCTAAAAGTGATTGGTGGTGATATTTTAGAATACAGTAATTTCAAGAATTATTCTGAGTGTTTTAAATGTGCCCTGAAATGTTGGCATGTCATTTCAGCGTTTCCATTTGAATTCTCTTGTAATATTTTTGCACAAAAATAACTGAGAAAAAGACTACTTTGGTTGAAGAAAAAGAAAAGTATAATTTGGTCTTATTTTAATGTCTCCTGTGGAAGCACTGGGGATAAATTTTGTTGGTATAGTTATTAATTCAGGATATTTAAAACAGTGTTGAACAGCTCACAAGAAATTAAGCAAACTTGGATATTTAAAAATTAAAATACTTTCTTTCCATTTGACTGTTTTGCATAGTTTTTTTTCCCCCCACACTGTCATAACACTACATTCCTTGTTTTTCTTAAATAATACTTTGCAGGTTTTGATATTTTGTACAATGCCTGGGTTATTCCTAGGGAATGATCTTTAGCATAATAGGATATAGTTTCTAAGGAGACTATTAAGTAAAATTCCATCTCCACCACCAGCAAACACTGAGGTGCTGCATTAAATGACAATCAAAATAGTAAGTATTTAGAAAGTGGTTGAAAGAAGCAATTGCTTTGAAAGCAGTTCTCTGGGTTTCTTGAGTAAAAATCAGCTAAATATATTTATTTATATTTTTAGGTATCTTTGCATTCTGTTTTCTCATCTGTGATTTAAGTGTCATGTATCTAATTTGTGGTTGGTTGTTTTGCATCATCTTGTACTTGGAGAACTGGCTCTTATTTGGGGCTGTTGCTAGCTCTCTTGATGACTCCAAGAACAATCCAAATCTGTTTCACTGCAGGATGGCAGTGGAGGGCCCAAATTCAGATGCCTCTACACTTCCTTCCTGCTCTCAAATAATTGAAGAAAAAAAAAAAATTAAAAGGTAACTCCTTTAAACTCTGCTTTACATAACTCGGATCTTTTTCTAGTTTCACTTGCTGCCTTCTCTATTTTACAGGCACTTTTTGTATAATTACGTTCCCCAAATACAGCCAAAGGCCAGTATGACAGAACCAATGGCATGCATTGCCTCTATTTTGTCCATTTCAAGTCATGTTAGTAAAACAGCATCTTCTAATGGCTGTCATTATCATATCCATATTAAAGTCCTTAAATACAAATGGAATAATGTATACACACTGAAAACTTGTACTACAAAAGTTTGCTGTCTTTATATAGTGTAGTGTTGCTTGATGTTTTAAAAACAAACCAAACCTCCATACACAGCATTGTCCAATAAAGCAGTGTTTGAACATTCTGAAGCCTAGCTATTTGAGGATTCTTCTTGCTTACATGTATTGGTACATAATCCTCCACATTAGAGCTCCCAGAGTAACTTTGGAGTCCCATAGGCTAGGAATAGCACACACAGGGATCCCTTAGAGAATGTTAATTAAAACATGTCAACCACATGTTGGTTTAAATCAAAGATATGCTATGTTTTCAAATGCATGCTTTTAAATCTCTGAGCAAACTGTGACATCGCTTTAAGAATTAACATTCGTGTGTGTGTGTGTGTGTGTGTGTGTGTGGTGAGAGAGAGAGAGTAAGTTGGCTTGTACTGGTGCAGATTCACTGCTGGCAATGGTTGTGCCAGTACTAAGAAGCTAGAATGTGGGGAAAGCCGTTATCTTCAAATTGATGTGTACCTAGACAATCATCTTAGCAAAAAAGTTGTCCAGGAAAAATTAAAAAAAAAAATGTCAGCCAGAATAGAACGGCTGTAATTTAAACCATTCTAGAATTATTTTGAAATCTATTTTACTATGGTTTAAGTTAGGGAAGGGCCTCAGTATGGCACTTTCATATTCACTCTGTGTGAAGATCAAAACCCAAAGATGAGTTAAATCAGTGCTGTACTGAAACCAGTTAGTGCAAAAAAAAAAAAAAGTTTTATCTTTGTAAATTTTTAATTGTTTAACATCAAGTTGGTAGTTGTAAAAACACACACCAAATTCTTTTCTAATGTTCTATGTGGTTCTTAGTGTGCTATTCTTTATTCTTGACATTGCTGTCTTTACTGCTTGGTTCTTGGTTTTAAAATAAAAATGTAGACGTAGCCTGTCATTCTTATTTCCAAAAGGGTAGAGCTGTTATTAAATGGCTACTGAATACCTTTTTTTCCCCTAAAGCAAACATTTAAATGAAATCCAAATTAATTTACAAAAGTGAGACTTGGCATTTTTCAGGTATTGTCTCCTGCCAAAGTCCTAAATTGCATAGAAGCATGAGGGATAATGAATGGTTTCAATGGTGCTATATTAGAGTCTTTGATTTCTATGAGCTATGTTTGGAAATATTGTATAAAATATGTGGATCATTTTGTTACCAACTTAATATTGCCATCTTAATTTGATGTTACAATTGGCTACACTCACTTTTCAAAGCTGTCCATTGAAAAGGAAGTCAAAATGTGTGACTAGCCTACCTCCACTCAGGCTTCTTGCTCTGTGATCATTTTTTCCAAGTTATGATGTGCATAGCTTTTCAAATCTACATGTACTCTTATAATGTTCTTTCCCACAGATTCTTGTATATTCAGAACCTAAAATTATAGCAAGAGAACCAAGCAGTAGTATTGTGGATTTTTTTTTTTTTTTTGTAAATGTAAAAATAATTAGATCCAGACTTTGTTTCCTTCTTCAATTTTAAAAATAAAAAAATACCTCAGTGCTATGTTTTTCAGTATCACCTGCATTTCTCCAAAAGTAACATCTGCTTTATGTGGCACGTAACTTGTAAGAATCACATTTTGGAGTTTAAAGACTATTAAATATTTTAAAATCACCATCAATGACATTTTCCTTTCTTTTCTTCAACAGAAGCTAACTAACTGTATCAGCATTTTTTACCTTGTAGCTTTAGGTCTGTCTCTAAGTAGTTAATTCTGTCCTGTTACAATAAACAAAACAACAACAAAAGCCTATGCTGTTATTCACAAAGCAAGCTAGTTACTGGGGCCAGGCTACCTAATCTTCATCAGTCTGTGTGGTACCAGGCCACCTAATCTTCATCAGTCTATGATGGTACCAGCTACTTTCTACCAGAAAATCTCCTTTTTGTTCTAAGAAAATAAATATAGTTCCTCACTGTCTTTGTTTATAAGTTAAGGCAGTTAATTAGGAGTCTCTGTTTCTTTGAAGTGTTTTGTCTTAATTCATGGATATTGTTTTTTTCTATCCTATAATATACATTTTTTTATGGAGTTAGAGAACTCCTTAGAAGTTTCCAAAAATGATGTTTTTCTTTGATAGTATTATGCTGCTGCCTAACAGCTGAAAGCTACTTTGTAGTTGAGGACCACTTGTAGGTTTCTTTAGAGGTCAGCTGCCCTTTCCACAGCTACTGAGATTAGCTGGGTCCTTTCACAGTCTTGTCAAGTTACAGATTACATTGTGGACCTGACACAGGCTGGGAGAACAGCTGTTGTACTGACTGAGTGGAGTGGTAAAGTTCGAGTAGACTTTAAATGACTGATTACTGAAGCTGCTATGATTAAATGAGGTGTCCTTAGCATAAGGAATAATTGCAGGCTCTGACATTAAACTGCCTGGTTTGCCTCCCTGCTCTACAATGTCACCTTGGGTAAGTTGCCCTTTTTAAAAAACCTTGTATTGATGCCTACTACCTAATAGAATCGTGAAGGCCAAGTGAGACAGTGCTTCAGAATAATATCTAGCTCCTGTTTAGCTACACATCAGTGTTTGTTTTTACATCTACTTTAGAAATGGCCTAGATAATAGCAATACTACTTTGGAAAGTTAGAAAAGTTAATGAGTTGTATAACACACAAGGAAAAACAAGCACTGGTCATACCACTTTTATTTACATTGTATCTATGTTACATTGTTTATTCAATATAGAAAAAATATGAATACATTCATAGTATTCTCTTTTAATTTGGTAATTCCACATTGTCAAATATTGACTATTTTCATATTGGGTGTCCTACCCAATTAAAAAAAAGAATGGACTTAGCAAACAATTCTAATTGCTATAGTAATTATTACCTTATTTGTCTCTTTTTAAAAACAATCTAATTTTGAAAAGACATGATTAAACTACTGCTTAGTGGCTTAGGGAAATATTTTTTTAAAAGAAATTCATTCATTCTTTCCACAAGGAAATTTTTAAGGTAAACATCTGAAATGCCTCAGTGACCAAGGAGAATATATTCCTTATAAAGGGGTCATGTTGAAAGAAAATCAAGTGGTAGACCCCATTGCACAATGGTTCTACACATACCAAACAGAAATGGGGACTATATTGACAATTATGTTGCAAAAAGTCCACACTGAGAAGTCGGGTTTCTTTTAAAAATCCATTTTACAAATCAGTGATTATCTTTTTTGGACATAATACTTTCATTAAATGGGTCAAACTCAAAAATCAATGCTACAAAATACAGTATTTTCCATTGCTTTTAGTTGTAATGTACACTATGTACAGAATGACAGTAGTTACCTATCTTAGACTAAATACAGATGAACAAATAGTGTGTTAAAAACCAGAATCAGGACTTATAAATAGTGCAGAAAATGCAAACGCCAAAAACACGACACCTCCTATGATCGTCACTGGAAGAGAAGAAAAAAAAAAATTAAATGAAGCAAAATTTCTCCTGTACCCTGATATTCTACAAACAAAATTTTGAGGGAAACAATGAATTTACCTATTTCTAGTCTAGTCAACTAACCTTGAATACAAATTCACTCCATTTATACAGCAAAGAACAACACTTAACATTCCTAATCAATTTCTTTTCTGACACTATTTTGGGAAATCATAGCATTAAATTGAGATTAGTTGCATCCCAAAACCCAATCATAGAGAAGAATGTTCAACAACCTCTGGCTAAAAAAGGGTAGCTATTTCATCGGTAGGCCTCCAGATTATTTATAGCTGCATAGGAAATGTTCAGCAGAATCAGTACACCTGGTTCATACCTGATTCTCAGTCTTAATATGTTTTTAAGATCCAAAATTTCCCATATTCCCATATGATAATTACTATGATATCACTGGTGTTTTTAGATGCACTTTTTATTTAACTGACTTCTACCCATGGGGAAAGAAAGCAGTCCATAGCATTGGGTGATACCTAGGACTTCAAAGAAGATAATTACAAAGACCAGGTGTATTTTTAGAAGAAAGAACTTAAATACAGAACTAACACACACACCCTATTTCTAACCTCTCAGAATGAGAAAAAAGAAAAACAACTGACTTACCAGTTCTGACAGAGATTTTTTGTGCTATCATTCTTCCTCCGATTACTGCCAATCCAGTGCATAAGCAGTGTCCCACTGTTCCACCCACTGCTACACCATAGGGATCCTGGAAAGGAAACATAACCAGCATTAATTTACTAGTTTGAAACGAAAGTTGAAACTGCTACTAAGTGCTGCTGTTAAGAAGCACTGAAGATGGAGGCCAGTCACAAAAAATATAAACAGTATAAAAATCCAGGTGTACTGAACTTCATGAAAGGTATATAACAGCTTCTTGAAGGCATATATACCAGTTGACCTAAACTAGAAAAAACTAAGTAAACCTTTATGGTATAGTATGGCTACGCTTCCTGAGAAAGAAACCTCACTCTTTAGTCATCATGCTGTTAGCTCAGTACCCGGAATCTTTTCATCCAGTCAAATTAGAATCAGCGAAGGTTTTCCAGAAAACAGCTCTGAAGGGCAGCAGGTGTTGTTAGCAAGAGGATTTGATTTTTGTTTTGTAGGGGAAGGAAATGCTAAGGAGAAAGCAGCAGACCAGCGGTAAAAGAAAACCAACTGCAGAGCTCTTCAGCCTTTCTACAGAGAACCAACAAGGCACCAGAGGATTCCACAAGGGAGCCAGGTCACATGAAGGATACTGTAAACTTGGGGTTGAACCTTTGTCTTTAGACACTGTCTGATTTCTACATGGGGCATGATATAACAGGCTTATTGCTTAAAGATCTAAATGGACAAAATGTACTGGAGGGGAACGAGACTGAAGATAAGGTGAGAAGATATGGAAAGAAGCAACACTGGAGGTGGGAAGGAAGCTATAGGCCTAGAAAAGGCAGATGACTTTAAGAGAAATTGCGTGGCATACTTAATGCCTCAAGGATAAACAAATGATAAGTGCTCTGAAAATCAGGCATGACACCCAAGTTTCTCCTCTTTAATTATCTGGGTGAATTAAAGTAACTCCATTGAGATTAAAAAGAGGAGGAGGAGCAGAGAAAGGCTTAAAGTTGCTGACAGGAGTAAGAACTGTTAAGAATCAGATGAATGTGATGGTGGAGAAGCTAAGGGACTGAACATAATAACCCTGAAAGAGGATGCTAAAGAAGGATGTTGATAAACAATCCTCAAAGGATGACAGAGGAATCAAAGGAGACTGAAAGGTGGCCAGGCAGTTAGCCTCCCAAGAGACCACAGCAGGTCTTGTCAATGGCTGCAGTGAGCTCTTCAAGGCCCCCAGTCAGCACTCCTGGTGAGGTTAGATCTGTGGTTTCAAAGGCAGCCAAGTACAATGACATTTATTCCTATCACAGCCAAGCTCTCTGAGACTGTGGGAAGAGGAAGAAAGTGCTATTTGGCAGAGAACTAGACTTGAAGAAAGGGGGCTTCCCACCCCCAACAAAGATGAGAAAAGACTCATGCTAAAAATGCCCCCCAAATTGCGCTGGGACAAAGGTAAAGATTTAAGATGGGGCAGGGGAGATATTCGAGAAGCTGAGAGCCAGGACATAGGAGAACGCAACTGCAGTTGTGAGGGGTAGGAAATGAAGAAAAGCAGGCTATTGCTCTCTGAAGCAGGAGGGGGCCCAGTGCCTTGGCGTGGGCAGTGTATGTGCACAGACAGGAAGTGGAAATGCTATGAAGCATGAATGGAAAATTAGGACTACACTTCCCAAATTCTGTTTGTGTATTATAACTTCTATAACTGCTACCCCAGAGATAGCATCATTCTATTTGAGATGATACCTGAAAAAAATCACTAGATTAAATAAAACCCATTTTTCAGATTGTTAATTTATAGACTGAATACTTAAAAAAGAAAGAAAGGGAAAAAAAGCCAAGGAAACATCACTTGACAAGTATGACCCAAAGTTCTCTACTCCCAACCCCCTCGTACCCATTAAAATTTCAAAGATACTAGGGTTCTGTGATATGCAATTTAGGAACATCAATGTTGGAAGTAGAGATGCAGAGTAAAATGGTTTGAACCAACTGTGTGGTTCATACCAAAAAAGGGAATATTAACGGAACAAAATAGACACAACACATTTGCCCTTTAACAGCTCACTAAACACCACTGCAGTGCTGGGTATGGAAGGGTGGCTGATGGAGTGCCGTGTTGGGGACTGTGCTGCCTACATGCAGCATCAACCCATGAAGTAGGTGATCCCCCTTTTCGAGTGAGGAAGTGCAGGGAAGTACAGCGATATGGTCACACAACGAGACAAACCAGCAGCATGTGCCATGCTCTAGGAGGCATGGACCAAGTGTCCGGCATAGAGAGGGAGTCCAGTCTTGCCCGGTTACTGCCACACAGAAGAGTGTATAGAAGAAACGCAGGGATTCTGCCATCAGAGCTCACCCTGCAGAACCTCCCACGTCCACCACATACATGGTCACTTACTTTCAAGTCCCAATTCTGGCAATCTGAAAGTCAACAAAAGACTAGAAATCAAGAAGAATACGGATACAGCCAATAAAGTGACATTTTAAAACAAAGTTTGTCTTACGGGAATTGAAAAATAGAGATCCTTTCTTCTCTTTCCCCCTCTTCCCAGAATATAGCATTTGAGACTTCTCTGACAAAACAGCCTTTCCCCAGCTATCTTAGTCTTGGCCCTCAAAATGCTTTATATTTTAAACTGCAGCCTATGTTAATAAACTTATTCTTTTATGAAGACATTTCCAAGGATTTAAAAACTATTTGAATCTGAAATTGTACAATTGGATGTAAATATAGATAAGTATACTAGTTAAGATCAAGAAGAGCCTGAAAAGTGGTTGCAACTTCCATTCCATAACCCTCTCCTCAGTAAATCTTGATAAATCTATGTGAACATTAAAATATTCTGTCTATTCCCCTCAAAAGGAAGAAAGGTTAAGTAAGAAACTAAACCAACAAGTATCTTTAAAATAAGAGGCATTCAACAACTATGAACAAAACAGAGAAGAAAGGGCTACAAAGGCAGGTCCTTGCCCTGCCTACCAACCAACTCCTGTCGTCACCCAAGTCACCCAATTTCTCTGGGCCTCAGGTTATTTATCTTTATTGAGTAAAGGCTGGAAAGAGATGAACTGAGGTCTCTTGTATCTCACCATCCTAGCACTCAATAATCTAGAGCTAAGACATAACAAAAATTTTCTATACAGAAACAACTCACCCATTATAGTAGTGCCCAAAGATAAGCACTGTCAACATTCTGATTTCCTTAAGTGCTTTTTGTTCTTTGAATACCTTTTAAAATTTCTGTCATTAAAATGATGTTGAAAAGTGCATAATCCAAGAGCTACATAACAATTTGTGGATAACTGAATCAATTCTTTATTAGAAAGTTCAGTCTGTTTCTAGTTCACTCAGTTATAATAAAAACATAAGTAACCTGTACAACACTCAATTATTTCTTCAGTATAAGGAATAGAGAAACCAAAATTTACACACTTTAAAAGGCCATAAACATTTACTGCCAAACTGGTCTTCAAAAATATTAGGACAATTTATATTTTCAACAAGCACATACAGGCAGGTTCTGAAAAAAGCAAGCAAGCCAAGCCAAGATGGCCATAACTTTTGGGAAAATTGGGGAAAAGGACAAGCAAGGGGAAAAGAGAAAGCAATTAAATTTGGATATAAAAACGTCATCAGACTGGAAGCAGAAACAAGAAGGCTAATATGAGATGAGATGATCAGAGAGTCTAACATGGGAAACAACTCGCTGGCCACTAACACTGAACAAAGTCACTTGATTGTATTTACTTTTAATATAATCATAGTATTAAGTCTCACCCACCTCTCTAGCTGCCAGAACAATCGTAGTGAGTTGAGAGCGATCTCCCCATTCTGCTAAGAATGTTAGTGTAAGAGCTTGAACAAAAATGGGTGAAATAAAATGCAGCCACTTTTTCTGAGGTATTGTTGTGCTTGTACCCGTTTCAACATCTCCTGGTCCATTTAAGAGTTTGGTTCGTTGAAACTAAAACAAAAAATTACATCAACACTGGGAATCAATAGAAATAGCACAAAATCATTATTATTTTATTTGCTTAAGTTCTATGGAATATGTTCCAAAGAAACTAAATTTCTGTGACCCCAGATTTCTCCTTTGATTTCATGTAGTAATATATGTTATATTCAATTCTTCTGTTCCTCAGTAAAACAAATCAAATGGCATTTATTGATCACTTATTATCCTAGATGCTATGGAAGGAACATGTAAAATGATAAAATATAGTTCCTGCTTTTCAGGAGCTATAATCAATCTAATGAAGGAACTTGATTGCCAGGTTTGGTATTCATCTCTACTTCCTTTCTTACCACATTCACAGTAACCCAGAATTCTATCACCGTCAGCTTTAAGAAGGGAAGCTGAACAAAACAAGATATTTTTTTGTAGCTCAGACACAACACGTGGCCACTGAAAAACCCTGAATAGTGCTTATTCCTCACTGAGTGCCTTTTTGGCCCAGATATTTAACAGTGCTATAACTTACTTCTTCATCCTTCTTCTTTAATTCTGCTTGAACTTCTTCCAGTTCCTCTTGACCCTCATCTGGGCTCATCTTCAAGCCTTCCCGAAGCATTCTAATGCCAAAAATGGCAAATAATGCAGTTGAGACATAGTATGTGTACACCCTGGGGATGACGGTGGTGGCATAGCCAAACAGAACTGAAAGAAAATGCCAACAGTGTGTCTGGTTAACTGGCCTTACCACAACAACCAAAGACAGGGTTAACATCAAGAAATCATAACTTACCACTGTTAAAGAAAAGATGGTTCACATTAGCAACTACTGTAATAACCTTAAACAACTCCATCTTTCCCTCCACCAATACTGAACCTTTAAGTCTAACCATGGCCCTCACACAGCTTACTAAGACATCAATGGCATAGGTGAAGATGGTATATTGACCTTCCCTCCAGACCTGTTCAGCCAGGGTCTGGCTTGCCACTTATGTTGTACAGGGCCTAGGACTTGAGGTAGGCTAACTTTGATGCCCTATAAGGATTCTACAGCCTGAAGCCACACCCCTTTCATATGTAGGTACAATTTCTTAATTACAAATCTTTAAATGATTCAAACTCTGCTCCTTTTTAACTCTTTGATGTGATTCACTATGCTATATTCATATATATATACATACATACACACACACACACACACACACACACACACGCGAAAGTTCAGTCAGATTCATTCCACTCTTCTTCTCTTTTCCTGACCTACCTTCCTCCCCACTCAATCCCGTTCATCTACTCTACTGATTTTTCCTCTATTTTGATGAAATCCCCTCTTTTTCCCCCTTTTCTCTCCCCATCCCCTTATTTTGGGTAATAAGTATGTCTTATAAGAGAAAACTAGAAATTCCTTATAGATATGTGTATACATACATAAACACAACATAGACATACATTTTCTAGATATGTCCACTGAAAAGCAAGAAACAAAGATGTCTCAGTAACAAAGAGTCCACCTTATACTAGATCTAGCCACTAAATGACTCCTCAAGGCTCCTTAGTCAGAGAAATTGTCTATTCCAAGACTGGGCAGAGAAAGTTCAAGATGAACCTGCAATATTTTGTTATACTAGAAAGTAAGGAAAAGCAAAAACAAAAGAGGATATCACGAGGCCCTAGAGACTGCTTGAAGGGGCTCCCACTGGCCAAATCTGGGGCAGTGTAGCAACACACCAGTTTAATAATTAAAATCACTAGAAAAAGGAGTTAAAGAGCCTATATTGAACAGGCAAACAAATGGCACTTGCTTATAGAATTCCAAAGCTCACTGTTAAATGTGAATCAAATACTGGAATTACAAAGTCATCAATTTACAAGCATAGAGGGAAGGTTTACATCATCCCAGAGTCATCCTAAATCTATGGGGAAACTGTCACAAGTAATAGGGTATTTGTACTGTCTTCAAGTGACTCCCAATAGAGAAAAAACAGAAACCAAAACAGAGCACGAGAGAAATTTGAACTAGGTGATCAAAATGAACATCCCAATAAGGGGAAAATGGACATTGTGTGCTTTTCAGATGGGCTACCGTTTGAGGGACACAGTATCATCTATAGAGTTTTCTAGTCAAGAATGCATAACTTCAGCTAGGTAATCCCAGTGACTTGAGAAGCTAAGGCAGGAAAACTGCAAGTTCAAGACAAGCCTCAGCAACTTAGCGAAACCCTGTCTCAAAAATTAAAAAGGGCTGAGGATGTGGCTCAGTGGTCGAGTGCCCTGAGTTCAATCTTCATACCAAAAAAAACTATATATATTTCAATTTAAATTTCAGTTTAAATTTGGCATAGATTTGCTTTTGATAAACTAATAACTATAACTCAATCCATAAGAGATTTAACAAAAGAAACTTTCAATTTCTTTCAAAATTCAGTATTAAAGTTATATTTTTATTGCAGATATATGTAATAGAAGGATTCATCTAAGATTTTTCAAGCAAAACCTTACCATTAAGTTAACCTTATCATCATAAAACTCAATAAATAAAAATAATTATAGGAAGAAAGTTTAAATCAAATAAATAAATGAGCCAAATAAATTTCCGACTCTCAAAAAAGAGTTTATGTCAAGCTGGAATTGGGTATATTTCAAAACACCATAACAGTTTTATTTTATAAAATATATTAGACACTAGACCTTTGCTATTCCTTCTTAAATTTGCAATGAAAAATTTCAGATAAGTTCAGTGGCAGGGGGAGGCATAATTTTTCAAAATTATTTTCAAGACTACACAGGAAAAAAGTGTGCCAGTCCCTGATACTATTTCAAAAAGTAAAGGTGAAAAGTGCTGTCAGCACCAGTGGCTACAGGATGATGCGAAAGGGTTGGGACAGAAGACAGACACCACAGCTGAGGAGGAACCGAACACACAGAAGACGCTGGGACAAATATCCACAAGCCCAGGGTAGGAAGGGCACAGAGATGACAGCCTCTTGGCCCCCTTGAAGCGAAAGCTTCAACAAAAGATTTCTCTGATACTATTCAAACTCATTCCAAATAAGTGATGTCACCATTTGCAATTCTCTCCTATTCGTATTTACCATCATAGGTACTTGCCTTCAAGGAGAAACTGTTTTTACTGTGAAAAATTAATAATTCCCTTAATAATTTCCAAAAAGTGATAAGCATTCAAATTGTTTTAATTGTTAAAAAACTCATTTATATGTTTATAAAGACATAATCTTTAACAAGTATTCAGGCATCCCATAGCCAGAAAATAATTTATTCTGCACTTTCAAAAATGAGTTTCATTATGATAAATCTAAAACATTCTGAGGAAAGAGAGATGAGTGGCAAAGCACTCTAAATAAAACATCTCGCTAATATAGACCAGAGCCCACAGTGTAAGTGGACATCATTATTTCCATTTTACAGATGGGAAAACTAAATATCAAAGAGATTAAATAACTTTTGTGAAGCTAATACACTGCAATTCAGACTCAAATACAAGTCTGGCTCAAAGGGGAAAAGATCAATATTTTCCAGCAAACCATGTGGTTTGAGGTAGCTTTTGAATGTAGAGACCATACTTTGTTCAGTTATTTTGGCATTGACTTCTGATACTCTAATGTTCTGAAAAAGTAATGCCCATAAAGTAGTTTATCAAACAGCAGCACATGCAGGGAGTACCTGACCATAATGGATAAAAACAGCTTAATATCACAATAAACTGAAAGCTATTTCTCACTGATTACCTCCCTAAATGTCCTTCAACAGGAAAATATGCAATTCTTTTGTTGTTTCTAGAATCCTATTTCTAAAATATCAAATATAAATAAGCTTATCCAGACTGAAAAGAAAAAAAAAAAAGCTGAAACAGAATAAAAGTAAGGATAAAACATCACTGAATAAGTGATGAGGGAGTATGCATCTTGGCCGTGAACAGCAAAACATTTCATTTTAAAAGTGAGATGTGGCGTTTAAGAATTTATGTACTGACATCATTTGCTGACTAATTTCTAGAATATAAAACACATTCCACTATAACTGGCCCAGTGATTCAGTAGTCAATGCCTCGCACAATGCTTTCCATTCACTCACCTCTCACTGGGGGAAAACACTCACCTGACAAGCAGGTCATCAGGGCCAAGGCAAGCATAGCCCCAGCCAGCACCGTCAATCGGTTATAGCGCATCGCCATGATGGCTGCTATGAAAAATGTCTTATCACCCAATTCAGACACAATGATGACTGATATGGCAGCGACAAATGCATGAATAAATCCCAAATTGGTTTGGGTAGCTGGGTCTTCTTTATTTGTGTGAACTGGGGCTGCTGGTGTAAATCCTTTCTGGAAGAAAAAAAAATAATTATTAAATAATTATTAGTTACTTTTTGAAATAAATTATTTAACATTCTTTTATTTTACATGTGAATAAGATTTTTTTTTTTTTGTCATGGTCACATTTATCACTTTCAAAGTCAGTGGTAATGATGATGACCTTTGATGGTCGATCCTACAATGCACAGCTATGTAAAAATTCTCCAAACTGATTTAAAGAAAATATAGACCAGCTATTATATTAAAATTACCTTATTTTCTAAGTATCTGTTATCTGAGATTTAGTTCTTAGCTAAGTCCCATTAAATTTTTATTAGTAACTTGGGTGGAAGTCCCAGGTATGATTATCAAGCATTCAAATGACATGAACTGAGAGACAAACTTCAACTGAGACACTATAAAATTAACAAAGTAGGACCCAAAAGCTCTCACAGGCTATATTAAGAATTGGCTAAGCTGGATGCCATGGCACATGCCTGTAGTTCCAGCAACTTAGGAAGACTCTATCTCAAAACAAAAAATAAAAAGGGCTGGCAATGTAGCTCAGTGCTAGAATGCTCTGGGTTCAATCTCCAGTACAGGAAAAAAAATAAAAATAAAAAAAGAGTTGGTTTTAGCTAAGACAAGGTTTAATATAGATTGATGTGTACATGGTCCCACAATTAGGTCTAAAAAATTCTTGAAGGTAATGTGGCCTAATAACAAGACAAACCATAGTCTTGGTTGGCATGAAGTTGAAAATGTGTCAAAGTTTCAAAAAGGCAATAAGCATTGTGCATTAAGGAGTTAATGGCAACCCCATAGTATTCTACACTGCTTGGCCCTTCCCCAAAGTGCTGTACACAGTTCTGAGGTCCCACTCTTGAAAACACCATCCTCTGAAGATCACCCAAGATGGAGAGAGAATCTAAAACCAGGGCTTGGCAAGCTCTGTGGAGGCCAACGCAGCCTGTTTGAGAAAGGGATGTTTTTACCTATTTAAGAGGATGTAAAAAAATAAGAAATAGGGAAGAAGGGAGGTTAAGAGATGGGAGAAGGAGAGAGGGAAGGAAAGAAATAAGATTACACAACAGTGATCTCATGTAGCCAGCAAAGATGTAATCTGCAAAACCTAAAATACTGTCTGGCTCATTACCAAAAAGTGTATTGGCTTGGACTCTAAGACAATCACAAGAAACCAGGAAAGACAGTAATTGGTAAAGTCTGTTGTTAGTCTATTCCCTCTATATGGTCCCAAGAGGCAGAAGTAAAAAAAAAAAAAAAAATTATAGGTGCAGGTTTCAGATTAATTCAGAGAAAAGATTCCTATTCAAAAGAGCCACTCAAAGCTGGAATGGGCTGTAAGAGAAGATGAGAACTTCCCTTCTCAATGTCCGAGTGCCAGGGAAGGGAACCACCACTTCCAAGAAACTGACTTCACTCTGGTTCTCAACCAGGACACCTATATCTCCAAGAGGGCAGCTGGCAATGTTTAGAGACACTTCTGGTTGTTACAAATGAAGGGGAACAACTGGTATCTAGTGGGTAAAAATCTAAAAGCAGAGATACTGCTAGATCTCCTACAATGCACAGGACTTCCCCCTCAACAAAAAATTATATATCCAAAAATTATACATCCAAGATAGTTCCCAGGTTGAGAAACACTGGGCTAGATAACTCACTTCGACCCTAAGAGCTTATCTTTGATTAATTTTTAAAGCTTACCAATCTCTACAAATCCAAGACATAAAAAAGAAACCTGAGAACATAAGTTGTTTTGGAAAGGTAAAAACGAAGTAACATGTTTTACAAAAGGTAAAGGTCCTTGAAGGTCCTGATCAGAGATATCAAAAGGGTAAAATCCTAAATTTATAGTGTACATGTCATTCCTTAACACACAGCATAAAACTTCACTTCAAAACACCATGGTACAAATAAGAAAAATTTAAGTATTACTCAGATTAGACCTCTGAGCTAAAAACTGGGGTAATTTAACAACTGATAAAAAACTTTTCCAGCTTTGACAGTCAGCTCTGGATTGTGCATGTACCATCTTAAGGGCTTCCAGGTTCTCTACATCACCACCAGTTCTCTACACCACACTATTCAGTGTGCCTTTAAAAATGAGGCTCTGGTCTCTTCTGATACCCTAGCATTACGCATCCCAAAGACACATGCATTTCACCTAGGCTCTACTTAACATAGTGCTTTCTTGCTGGATAAGGTTTTTATATGAAAAAAATTCATTGTAAAATTTCAAAATCTTAAATTGAAGGAAAATTTGAGAGATAAATATATACAATTTATGATCAATTAACACTAAGGTCAAAAAGAAAATGTTTACTTTTAAAATCAAATCACAATAGTGATCAAAACTACATATTTCCATGGTTTTATAATTCCTAACCACAAAACCTTGGCTACATTATTTAGTTTCTGTTCCTCTGTGAGATGTGGAGGATAAAATAAAACTTGAGACTACAACAAAACTACATATTCTTAAAAACCTTCCTATATAGAGAACATAAGAAAAGTTAATTTATAGCTTTTGTTGCATAAAAAGCCCTAGATAGCCAAAATCATACTGTTAAATATGATCCTGGTGATAAAACCCTATGACAACTGGAGACTGGAGCAGGAGGATCACCAAGTTTGAGGACAATCTGGGCAACCAAGCAAGACCTTATCTATAAATAAAAATTAAAAAAGAGCTGAGATACAGCTCAGTGGTACAGTGCCCTGAGTTCAGTACTCAGTACTGCCAAACGAAGAAAGAAAGAAAAAGCAAACAACAACAACAAAACCAAAACAACTGGAGACAAAAAGTACCAGGGCATTGGGATGACAGAAGATTTTTTTAAATAAAAATATTATTAAAATACTGGAAGGGTTGGAAAATTATCAGTTATCATTCACTGGCTGCTCACTATATACAAGGATCATTTTCTCTGCTCTACCGTCACAGCGGTAGAATCCGTAGCACTGGAAACAAAAGGTCTGGGTTCATATAAAAGGGTTTACCATTTACTGTGACTTTGGGCCAGTAAGTAAACTTTGCTGTGACTCAAGTTCATCTCTAAAGTAAGAGGTAACTATGCCCCAGGATTGCTGTGAGCTAATGAATGAAGTCCTTAAGATGGTGCCTAGCACTCAGTTTTTGTAGCATCACACAACATGACCAGCTTATTTATCTTCGTGAAACTGATTATACCATGTTGCTACATTTTAAAACATAAAAAGAAGTAAAATTATTTGAACTATTTTAACCCAATACCACTAAACTACTATTTAAATTGTAAGCAATATTTTAAAAATTACTAATGAAATATGTTGTTTTTTTTTTTCATACTGTCTTTAAATTCTAGTGTACATGACACATGGCTCATGGCTACAGTACTGGCAGTGCAACCTGAGCGTCTGCCAAGCTTCTGCTTACCACAGGCCCTGAGTGAATCACACAGTCCCACCGTTCTGACCTCCTTTTCATTATGGTCCTATTAATCAAGATTCCTCAAGAGATGGGGAGGGGAGGGGACAGAGGTGTAGGAAAGACGGTGGAATGAGAAGGACATCATTACCCTAGATACATGTATGATTGCACAAATGGTATGACTCTACATCATGTACAGAGAAATGAAAAGTTGCACTCCACTTGTGTACAATGAAATGAAATGGATTCTGCTGTCATGTATAACTAATTAGAATAAAAGTAAAAATAGACTCCTCAAGAGACAACTCAAGTAGAACCTCTTGAGCAAAGCCTACCCCAGTAACTTCAGCTGTTAATGATCCTGCACCCCCTAAAATAAAACTCTACACACACTATAGGCAGTAAGTCACAGCAGAGACAGGAAAAAAAACTAAGTTTAAGATAGAAACACTCAGGAATTCACCTTTTTGTATTAGAAACATGTATAAATGTAATGCTATCATTTGTAAAGAAAAAAATAAATTTTTATCAATAGAAACTATTAAATGGTAAATCCATGTAACAATAGTATGAAGCTAAAAGATGTTCTATATATACTAATATAGAAAAATCATTAAGAAGCTTCAAATATGTGTCTGTAGTCATCATAATGGGGGACGCATGTAATATATAATATGTATACAACTGTAAATATGGACCAAATCTCAAGAAACAGTAATGGATGTTTCGAAGGAAGGAACCAGAATAACTAGGAGTCAGCAAACTTTTTCTTAATCAAATATTTAATAGCTTCATGGGCTACTTAGTTTCCATGGTAACTCTGCTGCTGCAACTTGAAAGCAGCTGTAGGTGATACCTGAGTGAGTATTGCTGTGTTGAACTAAAACCTTATTCACAAAAACAAGCAGTTAGTGAAAAACTGATCCCTGAACTAGAATTCAAGTGGAAAAAGCAGCATATTTCTCACTATAGGTTTCTCTCTACCTTCTAGATTTTATCATGCACATAATTATAGATATGAAGTGCATCACTTCAAAAACCTCTTAACCTAGCCTCTTACTCCAGCTCTTGGAAATCATTCCTTGCAGTCTAAGGCTGGCTTCAGGCAGGTCCAACCTGAAAGCACACTGTTCTGCACTTAAGTTTTGCTACCTGGGCATGTGGGGAGTTAATGGTGGGTCAACCTTTGACCAATTAGGGAAATCTGTTGTGAGATTCATTTCATAAGGCTCCTTGAAGGTCTCAGTGTTATGCAGTACTAGTCACTCTTGGTGCAGCTAACTTGAACAAGTATTCATCTCCTTTCCTGTACTGGCAATGGGAAAGAATGCAAGCATGTTCTGAGACCAGGCAGTAAGCCATCAGATGAATGACTGGGCAAGATGAGAAAGATACTGGGTGTAGACTGAAAATGTTACAGTTATAGTCTAACTTAGGAGCAACAGTATAAGACATAGGCACTGTGACAAATAATCAGAGCAGAGTTGAGAATACCAGCTACTGGACCAATTAATTAGGAGGTCAGCTGCATAACACAGTGCTGAGGACAAATTAGAGAAGGAAGAAAGTATACATATGATAGAAAGGAAAAAACAAATCA